CGTGGCAGCACTCGGGGCACACGCATCTCATGCACTGACCTTGCAACAACTGCGAACCGCGATCAGCGGCTGCTGAAAGAGCATTTAAAAAATACTTTTTATCGCGCTTTTGTGTTTTTATTTTTATAGACTTGAATGAGAACTGCCGCCGTCTTGTGATTTAATTTGCTTTGGCCTTTCGAGAAGAGGCAACGCAGGCAGACCGAGGGCCACAGCCGCATGACGCGGTTAGGATATAGAAATTCCAGGAATGCATTGAATTTCTTATGAAATAACGATTTGATCATCTTTCGTAACAAAAGAACTTTCTCTTTGTTACGCAAGCAATGCCAGAACTTTCTCCTGCGGTGTAGAAGGAAGCATGATTCACCGGAGGCATTCCCAAAAGATGTTTTGGCCCAGAACTTCCGCATTCCACACAACTGGCTAACCAAAACAGCAGGGGACATGGCATTCGAATCGAATCGTTAGATCTATCGATCGACACCTGATTGACATTCAACCAAAAACAGACAAAAAACTTGATCGAATTGTCAGACCCAAAAATGGAATGCCTTTTTGTTAGAGAACTTACTGATTGGGAGCTAAAAGCCATATCTTAATGCAACACGAGTATTTCCCGAAAAACCGTACAAAGTATCCGCAAGATTGCCCGCTAATTAGTCACCTGTTTGTACCGTTCAACGGAGTGGAGGGGGGGGCGGGGATCTGTTGCCTAATTAAAACGAGGCTACACACAGATCTACAGGAGAGCGACTCTCCGACATCCGATCCGCGCTGAAATCTGACCAAATTGGTAATCTCTCGTCGCATCGTGACACTCGCGACAAATCGCCTTAAATGTCATTTTTCTGTGGCAATGTTATGTTCCCCCCCCCCTCCCCCCTCCCTCCTTTTCGTTGTGTGTTGTGTGGTGTTTCCTTCCTCGTCTTGTGTGGGCGTTTCGGTGTGTGTGTGCTAACTGTTTTTTGTTTTTTGGAGGCATTCAGGTCTCTCCTTCATGGATCTCATGTTGTAATCTTGAGACGGACACTCCACGAAACACAAACACAAACACAAACATTCCTTTGTTCTGTCATCTTGAGGTTGTTTCGGTTTCGGTTCGGTTCGGTTTGGTTCTTTCAAAAAACTTAAATATTCATCAATAAATGTCAATGTCAAGTGGCAGTCGGGCATGAGATTTCGTTGGAAGAGATTGCACTCTGCTGAAAGCCTTAACGGCTCGAGAATATTGAAATATGATTGAAGTGAGGATTGCACAGGTAATCCCTCATAAGGGGTCTCACAGAGATTTTGGGAACGTGAGATCGTAGATCAGATCCCCCTCTAACTTCCTTTACTTAAGTCTACATTCCATCTTGTCTATGGCTTCCTTTAACGTTCCGCGGCAGTTGTCCATTTCCCATTTCCCATTCCGTTCCACTGACCAAAACTTGGCACAGATCGAAGCTCGTTTCGATTCCGATTCGGATTCTGATTCCGATTCTGATTCCGATTCGAGTGCGAAGTGCGACGCAGTATCTCGTATCGAGTGTGTACTCGAAACCTATTCATACTTTTGCAGCTTGTACGAGACTTGTATATTGTTTCTCCCCTTATCCCCTCCCCTCCCAACCAGCCCCCACCGCAACGCTGCTTAGCTTCAAGGTTATAATGAGCAACATATGCTGCGGGTCCGCTGCGGGTCCGTCGGTCTGCAATCAACTGCGAAAATGCACAGCTAAAAAATGCACTTCAACGACGATTTGTTTCAGCAGCAGCCACAACTAAAGCGAAACATTTTTCACGTTTTTCCGCTGCCTAGATTCTCCTCGGAGCTGGAGCTTGAGCTGGAGCTTGAGCTGGTCTTGAGCTTTGTTCGTTCTGCTTGCTGTGTTGCCTGATTGATGTTTGTCAGCTGTGGCTGCGGCTGCTGTCAGGCTGCCCAGCGGCCTTAGAAATTGTTGCAACAGACTAGCATAGAACTCCGAGCACAAGCAGCAGCAGCAGCAGCAGAAACAGAAATTAAAGTAAATTATACACATAATTGCAGTTTTTTGTGTCCAAGGCGTTGCACAGATGCTACACTCGGCAGACTCCCCTGGCTCCCCTGACTCCCCCCCTAACTCGTCATCGATCCAAGCCACACTCGTAATTCAATTAAACATTTTGCACATATTGTCGCCCATAAAAACAATAAACGAATGCAGAAAACACAATGCACTGGCAGCCCGACCAGTGGTCACGTTTCGCAAAAACCAAACCCCACAGCGCCCGCATAGAGTGGGGATCATAAAAATAGCTTGGGTGCCGTAAACGATGATTGCAGAAATGATCAGAGCGGGCAATAGCAATGGGAACCCCCTTCCCCCTCCTCAATGGCACTGGAGGTGCGGTGCTGCGGCTCGAAAGGTGTCCGCGAAAGGGTGACTCGATGAGTGATTGGTGGAAAATCACCCAAAAAGCAACCCCATCTAAGGGCAAAATCAATGCCTTGGTCACAGTTTCATAGGAAGTCCATGAAGAGCCAGTAGGACTTCTTTTCAACTGAGAAATCTTTTAAAAACGCGTCGCGCGTCATGCGGCAGCGCCCCTCGGTTGCGTTTTGCCTGGTGCAACGTCCAAAAGGAAAAAGGAAATATTCGAATACTCCTAAGGAAAACCCAATGATTACAGAGATCTTTCCATAGATCCGATAAAAGCCTTGTCTGTCAAATAAATTACATAAAATACACGTATTTTGCTGGCAGTCGTCGGTGATTAAATCACAGCCTGGAGAACAGCTAGCGAGGGATTAAGTCACAGTTTAGTAAGCCATTAGGCGGGGGTTTCTATCGGCGGGTGGAGGGGGCCTGGGCGGCAAAAACCAGAGATTTATATGGTTAGAGGAGCACTTGATCAGCCATGGAATACGTACGGGTATATCTCATATGCAAATTGGCAACAAAACGAAATGTGTGCCGTGCTGTGGTCTCTGGTGTGTGTTGGTAAATAATTTTCCACACAATTTGCAATTAGTAATAACATTTTTATCGGTCTCTCTCTCTGGGCCTGGGCCTGGGCTTGGGATTGGGCTTGGGACTGACTGGGCTTTGACTCGTCGTCGTCGTAGTCGTAGTCGTCGTCGTGGCTGTTGTTCAGTTTCATCATAAAGGCACCACCAGCAGAATCATTGCACTGACGTGGAATGGTGTATGGTATCGCTATGGCATGGCATGGCATGGCATGGCTAGTTATATAAACTCTGGCCAGCAGCACTCGGTGCTCGGTGCTCGGTGCTCGTTGCTCGGTACTCGGTAGTAATGATGCCTGCCTTTGGCTTTGGCTATAGCTGGCAGATTTTCAAGGTTAAAAGCAACGATGGCGCACGTGAGCGCTGGCCCCAGGCCCCAGGCCTCAGCTGCTCGCCTGCCTGCCTGCCTGCCTGCCTGCCAGCAAACTAGTTTCAAATGGCATAAAGTATCTGTAAGATACACACACACACAGAGGCTGCCGCTGCTCCAAGGAGTGGCCTGGCCCGCAATTAACTACAGATTTTTGTTTCGCTCTTGCTGCAACTGCAACTGCAACTGCAATAGCAACAGCGAACAGCTGGTGGGCTCGTTTCGATTCGTTTCGAGTTCAAGGCTATTGGGTCAAATTGCAAATTAGTCGCCCGCAGGTTGACGTTGAATGACATTATTCTCTGGGTATCTGCATCTTGAGCGCTTTTTAAGTGGACAGGCGACCAGCGACCAGCGACCACAGTGGATGTGGATGTGGATGTGGATGGATACGAGTATCTTGTAGATGCCATTCGAACAGGGCTTACAATTATCGATTCCGCTGCTCGGGTTTCTGGCCTGGGGGCCGTCTCGGGTGATTTGTATAAACTTTGCATTACAATCAATCATTTGTCGCCTGGGCAATAGCTTTTTAAGTAAATAAACATTAAGAAGTCATAACCGTAGTCGACTCGTATATGAGAATGGAGAGCCATCTAATGCCCGGGCAGAACGGTGGAGCGGACCGCAGGGGAGGGGCTGGAGAGGGGCACACAATTTATGCGCATATCAAGTGGCAGTGTGGCAGGGGCAGTGGCAGCGGCAGCGGCGCACTTACCTATCAACGCTTTTGTTGCCGATTTGCATGAAATTGCAAAAAAACAAAACCCCAAGAGAGCGAGAGAGAGAGATAGAGAAACTGAGAGTCGGGCAGAAGATACATGAATGCAATGCTTGCATGCATAAATGATGCTAAGCTGCGAAGATACAGATACTTTTCAAGTACATTTGATGCGATGTGTTTGCCAAAGATACTTAGATACTTGGATACTTGTAAATAGCCAATGAGATACTTGCCTCAGGGTTACTTTTCAGATAAAAGTCGAACCGTGGGCTAAGATACTCCATCTTTAAGGCATAGCTGTATCTTTAGGGAGTAATTGTATGCCTTAATCGTAAAGTATCTTTTATTTGTTAAAAGGAAGATACCCCCTGTCGAAAGTATCTCCCATTAATACATAATATTCCCTAATTGAGATACATGCCGCAATTATAACCAATCTATAAGGTTTAACAATCTTTAAGCTGCCTTTAACTGCCTTCGGGCACCCCTGGACCCTGGACGTATCTTAAATGCAGCATTTTGTGGTCTTCCGAGATACTTTTGCTGAATTTATTCGAGTTTTATGCGCACTGCAAGGCGGTGCAAGGCGGCGCAAGGCGGCGCAAGTGGGCTACCTGATCGTTTTATGGGCGGTTTTTACGATCAGCTAAAAAGAGAAGAGGACTTGCCATAATTATAGCTGGTTTTATTGCAGTCAGTCGGCTAAGTGGCAGTTGGGTAAACAATAAGACAGACAATGCCCCGACCTTAGACACTTCCCTACATTGTCACTGCAGTCGACTCGAGTCGACTCGACTCGGCCAATGCCGCCTTTGTCTGCCCATGCATGCATTGTGTTGCACGATGATGATGATGATGATGATGATGATCCGTATTGTAATGCCACTTTTTCCATTCTCTACCTCTGATTGCAGCCGCGCAGATCTTCCAGTACCCGCCGCCGCCGAGTCCCTCATGCAACTATACGGTCGGCGATGTCTTCTTCCCCCACGGCCCACCGCCAGTGCCGCCGCGGACACCGCGCACCAGCGTCAGCTTTGCCGCCGGCGAGGAGTACAACTTCTTCCGGCAGCAGACACAGCCGCCGTATCCGGCGCCGTCCACGCCGCAGCCAATGCCACCGCAGCCGCCGCAGTCGGCGCCACCGATGCACTACAGCCACAGCTTCCCGCAGCAGTCGCCGCACTTGCTGCAGCACCACCATCCCGCCTCCGTCTATGGCATGGGGCAGCACCAGCCGGGTCCCGGCTCCTACTACGCCACCTACACACCGCCCCCCACACCGAACACGGCCAATGCCGGCACCTCGACCTCATCGGCGGCCTTTGGGTGGCACAGCCATGGCCCCCAGCTGGCATCGACACCGCTGACGGCGCCAATGGGCTCCAAGATGCGGCTGCAGCGCAGCCAGTCGGATGCAGCCAGACGGTGAGTGGAAGTCCAATTTGTATTTGTAGGGCAGCAGCCCCAAGCATTTCCCCGTCTATGGGGGAGTAGGGTTTCCCCCCGAAAACCCAGTAGAATCTCCAATAATCTCCATGGAAAGCGGCTTGCCACGCGAACAGCGAGGCTCCCCGATAGTAGTACAGATCCGATTCGCATTATCTCTATCGTACACCCCCAGTGCCCCCCTCCCCAACCGCCCCACACACACACACACACACACATGAATATCAATTCCCATGACACAACGCAATGTTTTTAATTAATGAAAAGGCAAAGTTGTCGCTGATAATTGCCCATGACGTTCCCAACTACTAAATATTTATGTCTCTCTCTCTCTCTCTCTCCCTCTCTCTCTATCTATCTATCTCTCCCACACAGCAAGCGATTGACCTCGACGGGCGAGGATGAGCGCGAGTATCAGAGCGATCATGAGACCAGCTGGGATGATGAGTACGATGATCGTTATGACAATTTTACGGCCGGACGGGAGCGTCTGCAGGAGTTCAACGGACGGATACCACCACGGAAGAAGAAGAACAGTCACAGCAGCAGCAGCAGCCACAGCCACAGCCACAGCAACAACAATCCAATCAGCCAAAATAATTTCCAACTCCATTCATCGAATGCCGAGTGCAGCAGCAGCGCCAGCGGCAGTGCCAGCCACGGCAGCAACAGTCAGAGAGAGCGAGAGCGGGAGCGCGAGCAGCGAGCGGAGGCCGAGAAGAAGGTAAGCAACGGCACCCACACCCCCCACTAGATCTCTAGCCCCCTTGATCCCTCTATACCCTGCTAATTGGAGTTGTTAGAACTCTTGTTTCCCTTAAATATACCGCTGGGCAGCCGTTCGGGGAGTTCATTAACTTGAAGGCCCAACATCTGTTGGCTGCCGCCCGCCCTCCCCTCGCCCCTACCTACCGCGTGCGCTGGGCTGCGTGGCACGTGGCAAACATTTTTCAAAGGCTCAACTAGTTGAAAATGCTGCAAAAATGCTAAAAATACAACCTGAAGGAATGACAAATTGCCGCCGGAGCTGCAAAGTGCATGTCGGTGCCTGCCTGCCTGCCTTCCAGCCTGCGAATGTATAACGCATACATACATACATATAACACTTTTTTTGCACATGCTAAAAGTGTGATAAAAATTAATTGCGCAGTTCCTGGCCCAGGGGCCCCGTCCGAGAGTCTTGTCTTTCTGTCGCTCTGTCTCTCTTTTCGCTGCTCGGGCGCTGCTCGTCTCTCGCATTATGTTAATCGCAGCAGGCGCCTTACGCTCCGCTCTGCCCGCTCTCCCTCTCGTTCTTCCTCGTTTCTAGACTCTCTGTCCATATCTGGCTCTCGATTAATGTCGTGTAAGTCGGGCCTTTGTGTCAGCTGCGGCTGCCTCTGCCTCTGCCGCTGCCGCTGCGCTGCTTCTACTGTGTGTCGTATGCCCTCATTGAGCCTCACTTTTTACGCCTTTTTCTTAGTTTTTAGTTTCTGCGCTTTTCGCCTGCGCAATTAAAAGAAAAGAAATGTAAACTTGAAGAAATTCAATCGCAATCATGCAATCGCATGACACACACACTGACTCAGACCCGATACCATTCGCAGTCCACTTGAACCAACCCATCAAGTGGCTGTAGGAGACCCTCTGGATCGACTCTCAACTTCTCTGGATATGCCATAGTCGGGGAGATCATATTTCGAATTCTCATTTGTTGCTGTTCGCCTTCGTCGCTCTGGGCCGGGCCGCTTATCGCCTTCTGTCGCCAGCCTTGTGGGGGCACACACCCTTGGGGGAAGCTGCAGTCTGGAAGCTGTGGAAGCTCCTATGTTGTGACCTTATCCGAGCACTCTTTCAGCTGCTAAACGAGAGCGTGTGAAATTCCACAATCTACAAAGTATTATTCATGCTAATATATATACATATGTGCCACAGACATGGATCCTCGATTGTGATTTGAGGCATGAAATGGCGTGTATTTTTCCAATGCTTGATAAAATGTGTGGGAGTCAATCAGAAGGACGGAATGTTTTAAGAATGGAAAGGAATTGTATGATTTCTTGAAGGCGCAGTACTGAAATCCCATCCGAATCGAGATACCACCCAATCCCAGCCCAAGCTGAATTGAATCGAAATTCGAACACATGTTCGATGGCCCTTTCGTGCCATTAACCGCAAAGACAATGCCACAAATGTCCCATCCGAACCGAATAGGGCCCAAAATTCGGGTCTAAAATAAGCGAAAAACTGAATTTGCATAATAAATTTGAGGTCAGTTTCAGTTGTGTTGGTGGTTGCCTTTGCCACCAACCATCCACCACTTGCCACCACAAACAGCCATGGCCATGCCATGCCATGCCATGCCATCCACACGTGCCACACTGCGACCATTCAAGCGTGGAATGTTGGACAAATAAATGGTGTAAAAAATATAACCATTGATGCGGGTGCGGTGCTGTTGCTGTTGCTTTTGCTGTTGCCTTTGCTGTTGCTTCTGCTGGCGGGGAGGGCGAGTCAAGTGTTCTGTATAGAAAAATAATTACACCATTGACCACCAGACAAAAATTGACCGCCCATTCGGGTCACTTTTGCCAGTCAATAGTTTCGCTTGATTTACTGTTTGAGAGTTCCACAGAGACAGAGAGAGAGAGAGGGTGGAACAGGGCAGGGTCACGTGTGTGGTTTTCTATATTTTTATGCCACACAAGGGAGCTGTAGGTTAGAGCGATTTTCTTTCGTTTTTTTCCCCCATTTGTGGGGTCACTTTATTGATTTAAATACATCCACCTTACACACACATCAACCATTTCTAATCTCTTGCATTTTTCCACATTTTGTGGTTCTTTCAGAAACCGCAGGTCTTCACCTGGCCGACCGTTGTGACCGTGTTCGTGCTGGCCATGGGATGTGGCTTCTTTGCGGCGCGATGAAACCCCTGGATATGTGTAACCGAATGATCTATAGTGAAATCAGCTAGCATATAGGATATATACACGATCTATACGTAGATATAGCGAAACCGTAAAATAAGTGCAACGAATTTATTGAAAGCAGAAAGTCATTAATTCGTAAACCGATTGTTAAATATACATATACCGATACCGATACCGATACCGATACGATTAAGAGGGTTGACGGGACACAAGAACAATATATTCTATCTGTCTAGGGTAACTTTTGCATTTGTACTGTACGAGTATCTCCAGAAACAGCAACAGCAACAGCAACACAAATTTCCTCAAAAACTGCTCAAAGTAAACGAAAACTCTCAGACTGGCCAAGTGACTCAGAATCAAAGCCTATTTTTTATTGCGGATACAAACATGTATTTTTGTACAACTTTTTGAACACTTAAATATACACAGACACACACACAGAAATTCAACAAGTACAAAGACCAATACAAAGACAAACGAAACAACAAAAGAACAAAAGGAAAACTGCCAATTCTTGAGATATAGTACTCTTCGCGACGATTTTCGTTTTTGCATTTAATCATCTGATATTCCACCTGCATTTTCTTCCACCCACAACCACAACCCCAAAACAATTTCAATGTCTTCGATTTTGTGATTTCGAATCGCAAGCAAAATAAAAAAAAAAATATATACATATATATATTTTTTTTTGATTATTTGTTTAACTAGTAGAAATTTTTAAGCATAAGCCCCACACAGCAGAAAGATCACACGCCTAGCTTTAATTGTTAAAAAAAAAACAAACGCAGAGAAAAAAAATCATAAAAAAAAACGTCTTACTTAGTTTTTTTTATTTGTATATAGTTTTTATGCCATTTTTGTGATGTTTTGTGTCTACGGTTTATGTCATGTTATTTTAGTTAAATTTCGTATGATTAGTATTTTTTTTTTGTAATATTTTTTTTGTCATTGTTCATCATTGTCTTCAAATTGGTCTCACAATTTAGTTGTTTAAGTCCCAGGACCCGGGAAATGTCCAGCCGGGAAATTGTCTGCCCCTGAAAAAGGCCGCCCTCTCTCCGAAAATCTTTTTTGGAACACGCACACAAATGATCTCTCCCAAATGGAAATTAATGCAAGTTGATCTCCAACGATAGCCAAAGTCAAAGGAAAAAGTAATTCAAACGAAGGAGAAGGGGAAAGACCATTTTCAGAGGGGCAAGTTCCGATTTTGCTGGCGTTTCCTGGCCGTTTCAATGCTAATCGAATACACAACGTGAACATGAAAGCGAAAATAGTGAAAAACAAAAAATCAAAAGAAAGGTAAAAACAATTCCCAAAAATCGCATTGATCTCATGGATTTATACAATACACACAGTTTTTTTTTTACAATGAGAAAAAAATACAATAAAAAATAAGAAGAGAAAGAAGAGAAGAAAATGAAAAGTGAAACAGAAACAAAAAGGGAAAGAGAAAGAGAAACGGAAACGGAAAACGGAAAACAAGAGTTAAGTGTAAGAAAAGTCTAGGCTTAAGTTCGCCAAGCGTTTTAGTTCTAAATTCAACAGAGTTTAAGGTAGATTTAGTGAGTTTTTCACGCGTTTATTTTGTACATACATATACCTAAAGCAATATTATTCTGTGTAGCCATAAGCGATAGCCCAGACCCCCAGATACATGTATACCCAGATTCCAGATTCCAGATCCCAGATCCCAGACTCCATATCCTTATCCACTGCCAACCGCAGCCCCAGATATACATACATACACTTTCAAGCAAAATAGAACACTACACTTCTCAACTTATGAACTAATCATGACACACACACGCACACACACACACAAACACCACTTCCAAAAACCCAATGAAAAATTAATTTTGTAAATTTGTTGCATCAAATGAACCGGAAACGGCGGGAGCCTGTCTTCCCCTCTGGTTCATTGCCAATTAGTTTTCACAATGATCTCGGTAAAGTTTTGTGGCCTCGCAGGGCCCAGAAGTCAACATGGAAACATTGATTTCTGGCCTGCCATGAATACTGGAACAAAAAGTTAAAGGAAAGCAGAAGCAGAAGCAGTAGCAGAAGCAGAATCAGAAGCAAAAGCAAACTATATTTTTGACCCGATGCGACTTGATCCGTTTGTTAAATTTAAGTATCTTTACTCGACCCTGTACATAGCGCGCAGTTCGAATCATAGAATCAAATGCCATTTTTGTATAGAATTTTGTTTGGTGCCAAAACAGTGACAGATAATTGTCTGCGACACACACACACACACACACACACACACATACACACGCATACACATTATACATAATAGAATTTATTTATCCTAAGCTCGATCCTAAGTTCAACAATTCAGCAATTTGTCAATTCAATTCAACTTAGGAAATAATCCTCTTTTTTTTGTTGTTTTTCGTGTTCGGAAGAAGCGCAAGACTTCGTTTAATTGTACATTTTATATATTATGCTGTAATATTTTAATATGCATAAATAATATCATTATTGATCTCATGAATATGTTCATAAGACAAAATAAGCAGCAACAATTATCTGTATAAATACATTCGAGTGCATACATGTGTGTGCTTATGTGTAAATGAAATACAAGTGCATAAATATATCATGTAAGATTTACAGAACAAACAAAATTCAAGCAAAAACTCAAAAAAAAAATTATTTGAAAAAGAAAGAAATAAATAAAAAAAATAAAATTAAATTGGTCTCAATTTAAATGCGGCAAAGGTATATGGGGCTGGGTTCGCCCAACAACGATGGCCTACTTTCAGGCGGATCCGAGATCAGTTCATGCAAAATTATTTTTGTGCATCTTTTGGGCTTGGATACTCTTCAAAATGATGGTATACTTTCAGGCAAATCGGGCTGCACACCTTAGTCTGGGGAAATATCCTTCAACCCTGATAAGGACTCCATCAAATGGAGATATAGCTTGCAGAAAAAAACCAGTATTTTCATGATGTGCAAATCCAACATTTCGGAAGGCTATAGCTCAGCTAAAAAGGACCAGATCGGTGAAGGAACGACTCTCCCAGGATCGCGAGGATCCAGTCTGTCGATTGGCACCAAAATCTCGACCACGAAAATGAGGCCGATTTTTGGCAAATTGGATGATGTAACCATCATGATTTTTTGCGATCCTTTTTTCTGGTGCCAATCGGTTGGCAGGACTCTCCCGGTCACGAAATGACATGCCACGCCTCGATCGGTTGCCGTTTAGCAGAGATATAGCTTGCAGAAAAAAACCAGTATTTTCATGATGTGCAAATCCAACATTTCGGAAGGCTATATCTCAACTAAACGGGGCCAGATCGGCGAAGGACCTAGTCTCCCAGGATCGTGGGGATCCAGCCTGTCGATTGCCACCAAAATCTCGACCACGAAAATGAGGCCGATTTTTGGCAAATTGGATGATGTAACCATCATGATTTTTTGCGAAAATCGTGATGGAATGGATATCCTTTTTTCTGGTGCCAATCGGGTGGCAGGACTCTCCGCATCACGAAATGACATGCCACGCCTCGATCGGTTGCCGCTTAACAGAGATATAGCTTACAGAAAAAAACCAGTATTTGCACGGTGTGCAAATCCAAATCTTCGGAAGGCTATATCTCTACTAAACGGGGCCAGATCGGCGAAGGACCTAGTCTCCCAGGATCGTGGGGATCCAGCCTGTCGATTGGCACCAAAATCTCGACCACGAAAATGAGGCCGATTTTTGGCAAATTGGATGATGTAACCATCATGATTTTTTGCGAAAATCGTGATGGAATGGATATCCTTTTTTCTGGTGCCAATCGGGTGGCAGGACTCTCCGCATCACGAAATGACATGCCACGCCTCGATCGGTTGCCGCTTAACAGAGATATAGCTTGCAGAAAAAAACCAGTATTTGCACGGTGTGCAAATCCAACATTTCGGAAGGCTATAGCTCAGCTAAACGGGGCCAGATCGGCGAAGGACCTAGTCTCCCAGGATCGTGGGGATCCAGCCTGTCGATTGGCACCAAAATCTCGACCACGAAAATGAGGCCGATTTTTGGCAAATTGGATGATGTAACCATCATGATTTTTTGCGAAAATCGTGATGGAATGGATATCCTTTTTTCTGGTGCCAATCGGTTGGCAGGACTCTCCCGGTCACGAAATGACATGCCACGCCTCGATCGGTTGCCGTTTAGCAGAGATATAGCTTGCAGAAAAAAACCAGTATTTTCATGATGTGCAAATCCAACATTTCGGAAGGCTATATCTCAACTAAACGGGGCCAGATCGGCGAAGGACCTAGTCTCCCAGGATCGTGGGGATCCAGCCTGTCGATTGGCACCAAAATCTCGACCACGAAAATGAGGCCGATTTTTGGCAAATTGGATGATGTAACCATCATGATTTTTTGCGAAAATCGTGATGGAATGGATATCCTTTTTTCTGGTGCCAATCGGGTGGCAGGACTCTCCGCATCACGAAATGACATGCCACGCCTCGATCGGTTGCCGCTTAACAGAGATATAGCTTACAGAAAAAAACCAGTATTTGCACGGTGTGCAAATCCAAATCTTCGGAAGGCTATATCTCTACTAAACGGGGCCAGATCGGCGAAGGACCTAGTCTCCCAGGATCGTGGGGATCCAGCCTGTCGATTGGCACCAAAATCTCGACCACGAAAATGAGGCCGATTTTTGGCAAATTGGATGATGTAACCATCATGATTTTTTGCGAAAATCGTGATGGAATGGATATCCTTTTTTCTGGTGCCAATCGGGTGGCAGGACTCTCCGCATCACGAAATGACATGCCACGCCTCGATCGGTTGCCGCTTAACAGAGATATAGCTTGCAGAAAAAAACCAGTATTTTCATGATGTGCAAATCCAACATTTCGGAAGGCTATATCTCAACTAAACGGGGCCAGATCGGCGAAGGACCTAGTCTCCCAGGATCGTGGGGATCCAGCCTGTCGATTGGCACCCAAATCTCGACCACGAAAATGAGGCCGATTTTTGGCAAATTGGATGATGTAACCATCGTGATTTTTTGCGAAAATCGTGATGGAATGGATATCCTTTTTTCTGGTGCCAATCGGGTGGCAGGACTCTCCGCATCACGAAATGACATGCCACGCCTCGATCGGTTGCCGCTTAACAGAGATATAGCTTACAGAAAAAAACCAGTATTTGCACGGTGTGCAAATCCAAATCTTCGGAAGGCTATATCTCTACTAAACGGGGCCAGATCGGCGAAGGACCTAGTCTCCCAGGATCGTGGGGATCCAGCCTGTCGATTGGCACCAAAATCTCGACCACGAAAATGAGGCAGATTTTTGGCAAATTGGATGATGTAACCATCATGATTTTTTGCGAAAATCGTGATGGAATGGATATCCTTTTTTCTGGTGCCAATCGGTTGGCAGGACTCTCCCGGTCACGAAATGACATGCCACGCCTCGATCGGTTGCCGTTTAGCAGAGATATAGCTTGCAGAAAAAAACCAGTATTTTCATGATGTGCAAATCCAAATCTTCGGAAGGCTATATCTCAGCTAAACGGGGCCAGATCGGCGAAGGACCTAGTCTCCCAGGATCGTGGGGATCCAGCCTGTCGATTGGCACCAAAATCTCGACCACGAAAATGAGGCCGATTTTTGGCAAATTGGATGATGTAACCATCATGATTTTTTGCGAAAATCGTGATGGAATGGATATCCTTTTTTCTGGTGCCAATCGGTTGGCAGGACTCTCCCGGTCACGAAATGACATGCCACGCCTCGATCGGTTGCCGTTTAGCAGAGATATAGCTTGCAGAAAAAAACCAGTATTTTCATGATGTGCAAATCCAACATTTCGGAAGGCTATATCTCAACTAAACGGGGCCAGATCGGCGAAGGACCTAGTCTCCCAGGATCGTGGGGATCCAGCCTGTCGATTGGCACCCAAATCTCGACCACGAAAATGAGGCCGATTTTTGGCAAATTGGATGATGTAACCATCATGATTTTTTGCGAAAATCGTGATGGAATGGATATCCTTTTTTCTGGTGCCAATCGGTTGGCAGGACTCTCCCGGTCACGAAATGACATGCCACGCCTCGATCGGTTGCCGTTTAGCAGAGATATAGCTTGCAGAAAAAAACCAGTATTTTCATGATGTGCAAATCCAAATCTTCGGAAGGCTATATCTCAGCTAAACGGGGCCAGATCGGCGAAGGACCTAGTCTCCCAGGATCGTGGGGATCCAGCCTGTCGATTGGCACCAAAATCTCGACCACGAAAATGAGGCCGATTTTTGGCAAATTGGATGATGTAACCATCATGATTTTTTGCGAAAATCGTGATGGAATGGATATCCTTTTTTCTGGTGCCAATCGGTTGGCAGGACTCTCCCGGTCACGAAATGACATGCCACGCCTCGATCGGTTGCCGTTTAGCAGAGATATAGCTTGCAGAAAAAAACCAGTATTTTCATGATGTGCAAATCCAACATTTCGGAAGGCTATATCTCAGCTAAACGGGGCCAGATCGGCGAAGGACCTAGTCTCCCAGGATCGTGGGGATCCAGCCTGTCGATTGGCACCCAAATCTCGACCACGAAAATGAGGCCGATTTTTGGCAAATTGGATGATGTAACCATCATGATTTTTTGCGAAAATCGTGATGGAATGGATATCCTTTTTTCTGGTGCCAATCGGGTGGCAGGACTCTCCGCATCACGAAATGACATGCCACGCCTCGATCGGTTGCCGCTTAACAGAGATATAGCTTACAGAAAAAAACCAGTATTTGCACGGTGTGCAAATCCAAATCTTCGGAAGGCTATATCTCTACTAAACGGGGCCAGATCGGCGAAGGACCTAGTCTCCCAGGATCGTGGGGATCCAGCCTGTCGATTGGCACCAAAATCTCGACCACGAAAATGAGGCAGATTTTTGGCAAATTGGATGATGTAACCATCATGATTTTTTGCGAAAATCGTGATGGAATGGATATCCTTTTTTCTGGTGCCAATCGGTTGGCAGGACTCTCCCGGTCACGAAATGACATGCCACGCCTCGATCGGTTGCCGTTTAGCAGAGATATAGCTTGCAGAAAAAAACCAGTATTTTCATGATGTGCAAATCCAAATCTTCAGAAGGCTATATCTCAGCTAAACGGGGCCAGATCGGCGAAGGACCTAGTCTCCCAGGATCGTGGGGATCCAGCCTGTCGATTGGCACCAAAATCTCGACCACGAAAATGAGGCCGATTTTTGGCAAATTGGATGATGTAACCATCGTGATTTTTTGCGAAAATCGTGATGGAATGGATATCCTTTTTTCTGGTGCCAATCGGGTGGCAGGACTCTCCGCATCACGAAATGACATGCCACGCCTCGATCGGTTGCCGCTTAACAGAGATATAGCTTACAGAAAAAAACCAGTATTTGCACGGTGTGCAAATCCAAATCTTCGGAAGGCTATATCTCTACTAAACGGGGCCAGATCGGCGAAGGACCTAGTCTCCCAGGATCGTGGGGATCCAGCCTGTCGATTGGCACCAAAATCTCGACCACGAAAATGAGGCAGATTTTTGGCAAATTGGATGATGTAACCATCATGATTTTTTGCGAAAATCGTGATGGAATGGATATCCTTTTTTCTGGTGCCAATCGGTTGGCAGGACTCTCCCGGTCACGAAATGACATGCCACGCCTCGATCGGTTGCCGTTTAGCAGAGATATAGCTTGCAGAAAAAAACCAGTATTTTCATGATGTGCAAATCCAAATCTTCGGAAGGCTATATCTCAGCTAAACGGGGCCAGATCGGCGAAGGACCTAGTCTCCCAGGATCGTGGGGATCCAGCCTGTCGATTGGCACCAAAATCTCGACCACGAAAATGAGGCCGATTTTTGGCAAATTGGATGATGTAACCATCATGATTTTTTGCGAAAATCGTGATGGAATGGATATCCTTTTTTCTGGTGCCAATCGGTTGGCAGGACTCTCCCGGTCACGAAATGACATGCCACGCCTCGATCGGTTGCCGTTTAGCAGAGAAATAGCTTGCAGAAAAAACCAGTATAGAAATTTGTAGATGTTTTTTTTTCAAAATTGCATACTTTATTGTATGTATTCCTTTCATTTTTTATAAATATTTTATATGTATAATGATGCTACTGTTTATATGAATAATTATGTATGTAAATATGTATTTATGTATATATACGTATGTATGTGTTACAATCAACTTATATATTTATATTAATAACTTAAAGTGAAATGTAAAAGTGCATTATCCTTGATCGACCGGGACGAAAATTGCATGGGACTGCAGGGCTCTCTGGACGGTCCTGGGTGGTCCTGGGTGGTCCTGGGTGGTCCTGGGCGAGATATTGATGTAAGCCGCGCAGATGCATTTGCACCCGAGGTAGTATTGAGCCTGAATTGGAATAGCAGACGTAAGACGATTGGGAGAGGCAGTCTTTGAAAACACTTACCACAACCTGGACCACGGATCAACTTCAGGGGATTGGCAGGCTAAACCGGACTCCATCTAGAACAGGGCCGTAAAAGTAAAAGAATAAAAATTACTTAAATTAGAAAGAAATATTAAATGGAATTTTGGAGCATAATTATGCCCGTTTTGTAAATGGGTTAGGGAAATTCCAAATCTTATAGAAACTAAACTTCAAATTCAGACAGGCTCGGCTTCTCTTTTCCATTTGCAGTAAAGAGCAGTAAGTATTTCGACTGAAGTGATAGTTTGTCGAACTCTAAGCCGTTTCAGACGAACAAAATCCCAAATTTCAAAGTGTTGGATATAGTAAAACTACCCTTTTTGTGAGTGCCACTGCGGTGCGTGCGATGCCAATGAAAATTGCTGGCCACTTAGCCGAAAAGTACCCCCGTCGAATGCCTAAACCAATTTGTAGTTTCTATTCCCTTTTGTGGTTGCGGATTAAATGGCCGTAATTGTTGCTCCTGCGGCCAGGGACACGCGACTCGGTAACGGGATACGGGATACGGAACCACGTGGGTCCTGTCACAAAAATGATGTGTTATTAACGGCTTAGGGCAGGCAATGGCGATTATAATGACGACGGCTACGGCTGGGCAATTATGTTAACCTGCCAATGCCAATGCCAATGCCTATGCCCTGCCCTGCCCCCTCTCTTGGCAGTCATGACATCCGCTTCCGCCTACAATCCGGGGCGCATGCAAGTGTCAATCAAAGGTACATTTAATTTGAAACTGCGATTTCCATTTCCATTCAATCTGTGTCGGAGCGTGTGTCCGCCTCGGATGAATGGATATCGAGTGGCAGCCCCACTTCGGCACACACCGAACCCTTTGACAGCCCTGTGGATAAGCGAATCTTGGAACTATGCTCGTTGCTGGAAATCTTAAACAATTGGGCAATTTGCGATACACTTTAATCATTTGGTCTCCGTGCACAAGTTTTCAATTAAATTTCGAAACAAAACCAAACCCAACCAGGAACCGCAATCGCAATTGCATTCCCATCTTCCCGTAGTTTATGTTAATTACTTTTTGGCTCAACACCTGCCAAAGGCCATAAACAAAGGGCAGCCACAATGGGGCATGGGGGGCATATCCTGACATGGTGTCATGCATTGCCAGATTTTATTATCAGGCGGGACCTCAACGCCAGTCGGGCTCTACCCCCAACCCATCGATCAGGAAGATTATTAAAATTATTTAAGTGGCACTTTGCCTTAAATAAAACTTAGTTATTTAATTTACTCCATTGATCAATCAATATGTAATATACATTTCAGACTATCCTAATTGATAATAAGAACTATTCCTCCCAAGTACCATACAACATATCAACACTATCATAAATAAATCTATTCTCATTAGAGCTCTTCATCGTCACCTTTGGGCCACCCTTAAGCAACTGTTTTCATATGTTTTAATTAAATTGTGGCCTGCTTGCGCGCTTAAATATTCGCCACTCGAAAGCCACTTAAAAGTAATTCAATTACAAATAAAACGCATCTACTTATTTCAGTTTTTCGCCAAAGTGAAGGGAAGAAAAAGTTAATTTCATTAAGCGGGAGTAGCCCTCAGACCACCCTACAGCGCCATAACGCCTTCCCCTTCCACCAGATGATGGTTGTGTGTAAAATTCAGGGGCAGCAGAAATGCATTAAAAATTCATTACAAAATGCACACAGAGGACAAATCTTTCGATGGGAGAACGGGGCGAACAGGGAGCTACAGGGAGCTACAGGTACTCTACTCGCATGGATGTAAGTGGCTCTTGAAACATGCACACAAATGTAAGAAACTTGTCGGCGATGTCGCTGTCAGCCACTCCCCGAAGCGGTGCGGGTTACATGTGCTTGCCACACAAATTTGCCACAAATATTTTCACATGTTTGCTTACTGGAGCTAGAGATGCGAAAGGCATAGTCACCCCTGAGGAGTATCCGTGTAACAGTTTTCCGTATTGGTCCCGGATATACAGGCTACACTATCAATATCAATACAAATAACATACAATATAAGCGATTCTTAGGTATACAAAGAGAACTTAGAATTAGATATACGCGTACTCTAAAAGTCTAACAAAACCCACTAATCGTTAAGGGATTAAGGCACTAATCTCTTAATAAATTCGGAATTCTTAATCTCTAGATAATGCCCTAAACGTTTTCTTATAGAAGGTCATCCCTCTTTGATTCTGGTTCTATTGGGGAAACTTCTGCAGATGGATTTTTATTCACTTTGTGCAAAGGATATTTGCTCAAGGCACTGTTTGCTCAGTGCCCAGGCCCAGGCTCAGGCCCAAGCCCCAACTTTTCTCATCTCTGAAAACTGATAAACTTGTGTCCCTGCACAGACGACTGGGGGACGGAGCGACAGAGAAATAGAGAGGGGGGCAAACACACAAGAAGAAGCGAAACCTGTGTCTTTGGTGCAAAAAGGTTAAGAAGGATGGCGAACGGAAGGACATGAGTAATCTCATATCTCTCGAATGATATGGGAATGGCAAGCTGGACAAACTCGTAAATATTGCTGTTGCTGGCCTGCAGGCGGCCATCATCTGGAGAGCTCAGACGATGGCAATATATGGCGATCATAATCAAGGTCTTTTGGCACTTTATTGACAAACTAATAAAAGCCGAGAGAGCCGACATGGAATGGAATGGTATGGGATGGTATGGTATGGGATGGGATGGTATGGGATGGGGTGGACTGGCAAGACGGAAAGATGGATGGACACTCGTAGATGGAAGCAAACGATTTATTAAAATCCCTCTACATGGCATACATAATAAAAAGCAAATGCCGAGAGGATGGAACGGGGACGGCTCTGGCTGACCTGGCCGTTGATGTGATGAGTAATTTGCTTTTGGCTTTTAATGGTGGCCCGGCCAGTAGCAGAAACCAGACAACGAATAGTTGCAGGACACGGAAATTAGTGCGGAAACGGTTACTACGCTTAGCAATCTGTCAAAAAGCCAAAATGTAATAAATGAGGTCCCCAACAGGACAGAACAGAGCAGAACAGAACAGAACAGAACAGAACAGAACAGAAGACTGGGTGGACAGTCTGGGGCCCATCAACATAATTCATACGAGATGCCAAAGCACGACAAAAGCTTGACCGGAACCAGTGGCAGTGGCAGTGGCAGTGGCAGTGGCAGTGGCAGTGGTAGTGGCAGTACCAGAAGCCGAACACGGACAGCAGTTGGACAAAGGCGCCAACTACAGGATACCACACAGCACAGGATGGCTGTCTTTTATGGTAGCAGATGCACCATATTTCATTACACGTTGATAAGTGGTCATTTGTCCCTGGACCAGGGCCTGGAATGGGTCGGATGCTGGTTTCCTGCATGCCAACAGGCATTTCATAATAATTTTAACAACCTTTTTTACGCAAACTTGCAGCCAGAGACAGCCAGCCCTTTGCCTATGCCCCGCCGTATCATATCATATACGATATTAAATGCACGGATAGGATATATGACTATTCAAATCGTAAGTAGTGTGTGTGTGTGTGTGAGTGTGTGTGTGAGTGTGCCCATTCATATGCTTATTAATTTTTCCACAATTTCCCGCAGGCTTTCATTTAAAGAGTACTGTAAGGGAAGAGAAAGCAAAGTGCTTTTCAAACGAATTAAAGGCTTGGAAAGATGTAAAAGTATTGGGATATTTACTATCAAATTTAATCAGAGGCGGCCATCCCGGTGTCATCATCATCATCATCATCATCGCTCAGAAACTCCAAGCCTTTCTTCCTAATGACATGATGAGCTGTCTTCCGACTGTCCGGCAGAGCCCGGGACAGTGCCGCTGCGGCTGGCCGCGGATTCTGGGGCTGCTGCGGCGAGTAGGATGCCCTGAAGCGTTGCAGATACTCCGGGGCCGGTGGCACATTGCCCACTGAGTGGTGCGGAACGATGCCATGGATGTGCTGCGGCCGGACCAGGCTGCAGAGTTGTATGAGGTTCATCCGCGAGGGCAGCGGCGACCATTTCAGGTGGTCGAGTCGCAGCATAACGAAGCGCTCGGCCCGACTGGTCAGGGTGGCGAAATCTTCGCCGTCGAAAATATGCACTTTGACCCTGTAGTCGCGGCACTCGAAGCGCTGCAAGTCGCTGCTGAGGAGCGCGTAGCTCTCGGCATAGTTGCCCATCAGTCGAATGTGGCCGTAGAGCAGGGTGTGCCCCAGTCGCCTCACCAGAGGCTCGTACCCAAAGAGGGGCAGCTTCAATCGTACCACGCTGTTCTCCTGCCTTGGCAGCTTGTCGATGGTCGCTGCCAGTGTGTCGTAGTCCACATGGACGAAGGGCTGGTCGACAGCGGTCAGGTTGAGGAACAGTAGGTCCGTGCCCTGGGCGATCCATGAGTTGAAGACGGGGTTCGCCACCAGCTGACAGAGATCGTCCTGCTGCACCGCCGAGTAGAAGTAGAGCAGTCTGCCGCCCTGTATCTTCCGGATGAGCACCACCAGACTGCATCCCAGCGCGGTCCCAGCACAGAGCATGGCCTCCAGACGCCTGCCGTCGCTGAGGCGTAGCTCGAAGGGCTTGCCCTCCTCCACGACATGGAAGTCCTGCTCGGAAATGTGCGCCTTACGCTTCTGCAGATACTGCAACAACTGATTGGCCAGTGGCCGGGTTGTGTACATCCGGCAGAACTTCCGGGGCAGCGTCTTCACCTGATTCTCCACCTGGCCGAGGTGCGTCACAAACACCTTGGTGAGGCTCTCGTAGAGCTTGGGTATCACATCGAATATCAGCTCGGGATGCTCCTTCGGACGCATGGCGTGCCTGCAAAAAAACATGCCCTTGATTATTATCGTACAAAGGGAATATCGTATTTAATGGACGCATGGATGTGTGCATATATGTGCTACACGCATCCTGAGACCTTTCTAGAGTCTTCTGCTATAGCTGGAGATATATCCTCCTTATTGCACAGTTTTTCTTCTATAAGCACGCGGATCACTTCCACCATTCAATAAGCTGTAAGCAAGAACAGCTGACTGAGCAGTGTGACCGTTCAATCGGGCTCTGTTTGGTCACACTCTGGCGTTAGCAGAACTTTGTTCGCTTTTTTCGGGATTATACATATTCATGGTTAATATTAATAATAAAAAAACGATTGCCTGCTATTTGTTCCCTCCGCGAGTTCAGTGGTATGTATTGTGTTTTGTGCTTTTCGATCCGAAATCTGCTGCGAAGATCTTGCAACAACAGCTGCGGCTGGCTTTGGCAACCGCAACCCCACGCGACCTTTCATGGTCACACAACACACCTCGGCACGCCCACAGCCCAAGCGGATATAAATGCTCGCATCAATGTTTGGCCATTCATCAGTCATCAATCATGAATCATGGCCCAAAGACGGCGGCATTTCGCGCTTTGCATAACCCCGACAGCCGAATGTAAACAAATTGCAAGACCACGAGCTACGCAAAAGCAACAAAATACGAGTAAATGGGTTGAATGACAGACATTGGCACAGATTCCAGTCATGGACTGACGCTGAGGCTGGGGCTGGGGCTGAGTTTGAGGAACCGCGGAACTGCCCACAGTCTTCGCGAGACTCGGCTGTGGTTTCCCTTTCGTTTGACCGCCAAAGCCAAAAGAGCATCTGCCATCCAGGCTAGGTTACCTCATGCTCGTACACCCCATCCTCAGCGGCAGAGGCACAGGCAGAGGCAGAGGCCCCCCCGAGTCAATAAAACGTGTAAATTATTATTACGTCCGCCTCTCCGCAGCCACAGCTGGAAAAGAAAGCCGCGTGGGGGGCTACTGGCCGACTAGAGCAGAAAATTACTCAACTAAAGTCGCTTGAGGTTGAAGTTTCAGTTTCGGCTTCAGCCTCAGATGGGGTCTATGTCTGGGTCTGCGGCTCGTTAGTCGCGTTGTTAGCCCGCTATTTTGGGCTTCAACTTTCACTCAGCGGCCCGGCTCAGACGACTAATTTGCAGCCGCTCGCCGATTGCTCGTTGGCTCATTGTAATTAAGCCATTTGGCTGGACAAGTGACTTGCCGGCGGACAGGCAGATTGTAAACGCTCATTGTACTCGGCGCTTCTCGCACCAAAAGTGTAACAAATACCCCCATTAGTCGGTGTAGTGCAGCTTTAAGTGTAATTAATAGCATTATGTGGACAAAAGTTGAATGAACAGGAGTCGGGTGAGTGGGGAAATATGGTTTTTTATCATCAATATGAGAAAACCTGAAGGAGAATGAAGCGCCTCAAAACTAGAAATGGTCTCCCCTTCAACTGGCTCTTCGACCAAGCTTACGTACTCCGACTTCTAATTAGCATTTACGGAAAAATTCCTGAACGAACAACACAGGGTTGGGGTTCAAGTTTTCACTGGAGGTTTAGGCCTAGTTTATGTGAGAGAATTTCCTCTTGTAGTCTCTTAAACAACTTGACATGGACTGAATTTCTTCTCAGATTAACTGCTTTGCAACACAGCGACTTTGCCTCCTAAGACTTTGCCATTTTGACCTTCAATATCGATTGTTTCTGAGGTCGCAGATCTCGCTCTCTTGCTTATCATCTTCATCGGCTTTCATCGAACTCAGCTGCGAGCTCTCTTTCACCGCTAATCCCTGCACTGATCGTGCACTGGTTTCTCTGCGACGCTCTGGCCTCTGCCGAAGACTCTGCCGGCGGCAACTTCCACTCGAGCGATGGCTTGGCGCATGCTCATCGGCGGAGTCGCGTGTCAAACGAGCGCCGCACTCAAAGCCGGAAAGACGTCGTTGGCGCATGCGCATTCCCGTTTCGTATTCGAGTTCGACTCCGTGTTCGCTTTTTTTTGTCAGTTAACCAGCAGAGCATAGCTGAGCCGAGCCGAACCGAACCAAGCCGAGCTTTGTGGAAGTTTCGATTTCATTCCCGCTTTCGGTTTCGTTTTTTCGAACATCAACAAAGTGCCACGCCACGGCAGTGCCGAAGACCCGCCAGGGGCAAGCAGAAGAGAGTGCCCAAAGTGCAGTGAGTAAGTGGCATCCGAGGGAGTGCGCGGGGCAAAGCCCGTGGCGCAGAAACCGAAAGTGTGCAAATCAAAGCCCGACCCATCCGTAGATGTCGCAATTGAAAGGCCCGAACAAAGCGCGGCAATTGTGTTTCGACAATTTCCGAGCTCAGCGAGCCAGGAAGAAAGAAAAGAAAGTTGCTGGCAGAAGAGAATTGCGCAAAAGCAATGACGAAAGAAGAGACTCACTATGCCCCGGTACCCGTTACCCGGTACCCGTAGCGCACTGAGGGATCCAATATCTTTATGCAAATGCGGTCAAATCTAGTCGGGGACTCCCGTCTTGCATTTGCGGGCATTGGGGGTTTTCTGATGGAACCAAGACACTCAAATCGAACCTCGGCACGCCTTGGACATTAAGGCTAATTGGAGGGGTAGTGCAGTGCGTCCCCAGTGTTGAGTGGATTATGTAATTTGACAAGCAGGATGCTCGTGTGCGCCACCCTAAAGAATTCCCAACACGTCCCAGCCGTACCCGTATCCGTATCCGTGTCCGTATCCAGCCGTGCCCGTCTTTGCCCGCAAATTTTGGGAACGCATCTCGAGCGTAAAGTGTCCTTTCGTGTTGCCACCGTTCCCTGTGCTTCCTGTGCTCCTTGGGCTCCCTGTGCTCCCTTGTGCGTGGCGTGGCGTGGCATGTGCCCCAGCGACACAGCAGAGCAGTTTTGTGATCCTTGCACCTGCTGCATTTGCACTGCACTGGAATTAGCTGCCATTTCTTGCTGTAAACTTCCATTGCCGTCTGTCGTCTGTCGACTGCCGTCGATGCCCGATGCCCGATGCTGCTCCTGTCTTTGCCTTTTAGTGCAGGACCCTCTGTTGCCTCTCTGCTTGTGGCAAATGCAATTTTCTAGTACTTGCTCTCCCCACCCCCTCCCCCGCCCCCTGACTCTTCCCTGCAAGCCCCGTACGGATGGGGCCATAAAATTTTGGGTGCAATTACATCTGGCTGTGGGAAAGTCTGTTGCCAGTCTGCGATACCAAGGAATTTAAATTTTATATGCAACAAGACATTTGGCATAGTCGTTTTTATATTACACAAAGCATAAATAATAAATTTCCTAGCCCCCTCCGACCAGATGCTGCAACCGGGAGGCGAGTGTGTGTGTCGCATGTCGCATGTCGCACCGTTTCGAAACTCGAATCTCTCGTGCGTCATCCTCCACAGAGTACTCCGCTCACAATAACCTTGACTCCGTTTTGAATGTAAATGCAGATCGCGGAGCGACAAATGAGACGCCGAACAAAGCCGCGAGTTGTGCATAATTTATGGTGAAATTTAAGGCGAAATGCGTGTGTGCCCAATCCCAAAAGAAATCAATAAACCGATGATCGAGACAAAGGAATAAACTGAGAACCCAAGAGACACTTTCACCGAAGCGAAGAAGCGAAGGTGAAATTCCACTGATAGAGAACCCCCGCTCTCCCAGGATAGTGGTGGATCCCAGTCCCATGAGTCACTCGAAACAAAGAGCTGCCATCATCGCAGACCGTGGACAGCTCAAACATAGCGCCAGACACTTGCTCCGAACTGGATGCTGCACTAAAATAAACCAGAAACTGTGTGCAGTCTCCGCGCATTAAACTTTTAAGGCCTGTCAACGCCCCAACCAAATAAAACTTGACAATAATACGAATAATTTTGCACGGAGACGGCGACGGAGCCAGCGACTGAGACTGAGACTCAGATGATGATGGGATATGATTATATATTATGTCGCAGTCGTGCGGCTGCATAAACACGGCGCAATCATAAAAAGCGGAATTAAACAAATGTTGCCGAGAACCGGGGGAACGGGAATGGGGAATGGGGAACGGGGAATGGCTATGGTACAGGCTACAGGCTACAGGGTATGGGCAATCCACCTCCACGCCCATAGAGCACGTGAGAATTGCATTAATATGAATGCAAATGTGCATCCCCGAGGGCATGGCGGAGACAAATCTATAAATTTATGTGCAAATGTAGCAAGAAATTGCCGAGCAGAAGTCGCGCGAAATTCGCGAAATTCCTTCTACTTTTTTTCTGTTTTCTGTTTTCTGCCGTTTCGAGTTGACAGCAAGTTTTTACGAGTATGATTTTCCTTTGCAGTCGGCGAAGACGTGCGAAGACGAACACGAAGACGAGGACTCTGCCTGGCTTAAGCTTATGAATTGCTGACGTGAGTTTGGGGACCTTCCAGAGACAGACACGACCCCGGCCCCGGCCCCGACCGCGACCCGCCCTGGTGCAGGTCCCATCCCAAGATGCACGGGAAAATTGCAATTCTAATTATCGTATTAGCCGGCAACGTGTCGTGCATAAGAAATGCAAACGGAAACGACGCAAATGACGGGTGAGTTATGCAAATTTCCCCGAGCAATACAAGTATCCCACTTGAAACCCCACTTTGTTCTGCAGGGAGGAGCAGCACATTTCCGTGAAGCTGAAAAACTTCTTTCCCTCGGAGCCGCTCAGCGAGTCGGAAGGGACCCAGGAGCCGCCACAAATCTCCGCCCGCGTCACCTCCAGCTCTGGCTTTCGGCCCTCGCAGATGCTGGACTTTACGCCGTCGGATGTGATGTCCAGTGACGGCCTCAATCGCTATCCGCCCAGCTATCTGGCGCCCAACTACCAGCACCAGTTCCCGAGCTCCCAGTCACAGTCCCAGTCCCAGTCCCCGGTCAGTCATCAGGCGGCGATGGACAAGCAGTTCTCGTTCCCCGAAGAGCCGTCGGGGGGCTTCCACAGCCTGGGCAGCACTACGATTCCTACCACGCCGGTCGTTAGCTACCTGGATCCGTACACCCAGCAGAACTATGGCTATGTGCCCACGGCGACCCCACCCACGCTGATCCAGTACCAGCGGGAACAGCCCGAAGACGATCAGGCCTACACGGTGCAGTCCACGCTGCTTGTCGGCAGCCACCAGCAGCATCAGCAGCCTCAGCGACCACGTCCGGGGTACGTGGACGATGTCTACCTCAAGCGGCCCGGCTATGTCTTCGATGAGAGCCCCTCGTCAGCGGTGTATCGCCGCCCCACGAAAGCGCCGCCCGCCCTGCCGGCGCCTCCCACCACAGCGTCGCATAAAATTTCATACGATTCGCATGATTACCCGCCGCCGAGCTATGCAGCCGAACAGACATCCAATTTCGTGCCCCAGACCCTGCCCGAACGGCCGCTCTACAACCGCCAAGACATCAATGACAATCGACCAGCGGTGCAGGAGACCCATCGACCCCGGCCCCAGGCCCAGGCACAGCTCCAAATCCAACACCAGCCCCAGCCCAAGCCCCAGTCCAGGCCTCCTTCCTCGTCTAATTATGCAAACAACTTTGATAATTATTTGCAGCGGCCGCCACCCAGCTACCAGAGCCATTCCCAGTCCCAGTCCCATGCCTACACCCAACCCCAGCCCCAACTCCAAGCGCAGTCTCAGCCTCAGTTGGGGTCCAGTCCTACGCACTATCAATACGAGCCGCTGGCAAGACCCCAGCCAGGAGTGGGATATGGACAGGGACAGGGACAGGGACCAAGACCAGGACACAATTACTACGAGTATCAAATTGGTGAGATACCGCCACCGCAATCCCATCCAGGACAGCGACCGAGCCAGTACCCGAGCCAGTACCCCAGCCAGCATCAGCATCAGCAGCAGCAGCAGTTCAGCAACTATCGTCCTGGAGCAGGGCCAACGACATATCGACCCAGTCAGTCGTCGTCGTCGTCGTCGGGCGGCGGCGGCGTCGGCGGTGGCGGCGGTCTGGCCACACTGGCATCGCTGTTCAGCTCAACGCAGCAGTACGCACCGCAATTTACGAACCTCCTCCTAGGCACAGCCTCCTCCACCCAGTCGCAGTCCAGCCCATTAGGAAGTCTCCTCGGCGCATTCGCTGGCAATGGATACCAGCAGCATCAGCAGCAGCAGCAGCAGTATCAGAAGCCTCAGCAGGGACGACCACCCAACACACAACTCATTAGAGCCCTGGAGAACATCGCACGCAACGACGATTTGGAGTGTGTGCCCAAGGTGCTCTGCCAGATGATTGCCGGTCAAACGTTACGTGGCCAATTGCCAGGCTTCATTACGTCCCCGGCCATAGCCAAGTGAGTTTCACGATGGGTGTACTCGTAATGAATGGGGGAATACAATATGGGGAGCAGGGAGTGGGGAGTGGGGAGTGGGGAATGGAGGTTTGAGAGTTGAGAGTTGAGAGTTGGGGGTTGGGTCTTTGGCTGCGACTCAGTTTGCAGGGGCTTTAGTTGTAAGTAAATATTATTAAATTTGCATTTTAAGGCTGGGGGTGCGGCACTGTGCAAGGCATCGTGTTGCCATACCGAAGCGTTAACTGGGATTAGACTTCATTAGTCCGAAACCATATTGATTGTTCCATTAAATGAGCTACGTTCGGGGGTTGTGCTGCACTGCAGTACGGGCTGTATGTAGCCGTAGACGGAGACCGAAACGTAGCCGTAAACCATCTCCTTCTTCGATGGTAAATTGAAATTGTTTTGGCTTTGGCAAATTCTTGGCTTCGAGTCAATTAAGTTTTATAAGCAGCTCAGAATGGGGTCCAATGGCAGCTGGAGTCACATTAGTTAGATAATGAGATGAAGGCTTGTTCTCCTTGATACCCGATACAGATGGGGCAGCCCCCACAGCCCCCATAGCGATGGATATCTATCTCGTAAGCGACGAACTCTTTTTTACTATAAAGAATGATCTTATATAGTGTTCCAGAGTGCAGCAAATAGCTGATTACATCTCTGTATCTCTCCCAGTGTGGCCCAGCAGTAAAGGGTGGGTTTTCGTACCCAAAGACTACTCTCTCTCTCTCTCTCTTACCTGTAGTATATAGATCTGAATAGACTTTTGCATCGATACTTTTACTAAATTGTCCTTGCCTTTTCCAAACAGCTTCCTCACTGGCTTTCCCGTGGCCTCGCCCGCCCTGATCTACGGCAGGGCTGCCCTGCTGGGACTCAGCGGCGGAGAGCGCAGCTGCCTCCAGAGCTATGAAAAGTGTCCGAAGAATGAGGTGAGCCCCGCACTGTGCTCTCGACATGAAGCAGGCTTAATGATTATTAAAAATAAACCCACTCTCCCTGCCAGATGGAAATCATTCACTATCTGAACAATCATCGCGGGGGCTTCTTCAAGTTCTTCAGCGAGCCGGAGGAGCAGCCGGTGGCGGCGCAGCAGAGCGAGAGTGGCGCTGGCTCATTGTTCAGCATCCTCTCAGCCCTGACGGGGGGCGGAGGAGGCGGTGGCCAGAGCCAGGTGTACACCACCCCGCGACCTGTGGCGCGACCCACCCAGCGGCCCAGCACGGACATCGCCAGCGGCATCGGCAGCTTCTTCAGCCAGGTCCTGTCCGAGTACCTGAACGGGGTGGAGTACCAGCGCAGGAGGAGGCGGAGGAGGAGGAGCCTGTTGCCAACGGAAATTAAACGCGCTATTCAGACGGATGATGCCCGCCTGATGCCAGTCGACTTCCACGACGAGGAGGACGGCCTGGACACGCAGTCGGGGCGAGTAGTCAAGTTCCAAGACGACGACGAGGCGGAGGCGGCCCAGGCCCACACCGAGCTGATTGGAGTGCTGCAATTTCCCGAGGACGAGGGTCGCGTTCTCAACTTCAAGGGCATCGAGAGTGAGGAGTATCATCAGGACGGCGCTATCCGCTTTCCGGACGCCACTCCGGCGGAAGCAGCGCGCGACGACCAGAGCAAAATTATCCGCGAGTTCAATCGCGATGCGGCCCAGCGCAAATTGAGATTTCCCCCTGAAGGGGAGGACGATGGAGCTGTCAGACAGGCTAAGCACTTGGCCCTCATCGAGGGCTGGAGGGCGGTGCTGCCCAATGGCCTGGCCGAGGCGGACTTCGGCGTGGACAAGCGTCGCGGCAAGAGGATTGTCTTCAAGGACACCAACGAGGAGCTGGACGAACAGGCAGCGAACGAGGAGAGGTACAGGGAAGAGCAGCTAAGGGAGGTCGAGCTGAGGGAGGAACAGCTGAGAGAGGAGCGAATCAGAGAAGACGAGCTCAGAGTAGAACGCATCCGGGAGATACAGCTGCGAGAACAGAATCTTCGCGACGAGCCCCAGCACTATCCCCTGAATGCGGTCTACGAGGAGGCGGCCCCGCCCCAGCGAGGAGCCCGGGTCATCTTCCCCGATCACTATGAGCGCTACATCCGCAAAGGGAAGATCCTGAACCGACCCACCTATGCGCCCAGCTACGAGTACGGCGACAGGCGGGAGGAAAAGGAAGATCGTCTGGTCCTGAGCAACGAGCACAGGCCTGGCGCCCATTACCGCCTGGAGGCAGGCGACTACCAATCGCCGCAGAGCCCAAGCACCCTCAACTACGGCGAGTACATGCCCAGCAGTACGGTTCGCTTCGGGGAGCCCACGGAGCGGCCGTCGCCCCAGTACAACTATCCCAATGCCAACTACATCAGCGACAACCGGTACGGGAGCAGGCCCAGCCAAAAGCCCCGCTACGAGGACGACAAGAACATCTACGTGACGAACTCCCAAGGCGTCAACGAGTACTACATCCGACCCGACGGCAGCAAGGTCTACCTGAGGGCCGGCTAGGACTAGGATTAGTTAGGAGGTTAGATGGTTAGGCGGTGCTCGCACCACACCCACTGAGAGGCAGGCCACATATAGTCATAAGTCTGTAAATACGTAACAGGTTTTTTTTTTGTGTATGCTTATGTTTATATATTTAATACCTTAAAGCAGTGTGCATACGTACGCACTCGTATTTATTAATAAAAACCCAATTCAATCAAAGGACAACAAGTGGAATACGCTCCGAGCGGAATTGCCGCATAAATCTAGCGGCAAACGGCAGCATCCAGGGAATATGTTTGAAAAATTAAATGTGATAAACCCGAAGCGAAGGCGAAGAGCAAAAAAGAGCAAACAGTCGGAGCACACGACTTGGTGATACCCATTACCAGAGGTTTAGTAATAGTAGCAGGGCTTTCCGGACATCATAGACGTAGCATACCTATCGGTGTTCCCGGATCTTGTGCCCGCCAAGATCCGAGCTGGCTTCTTGGGGCTGGCACCGCAGCATACCCTTGCACTCGACGAGCACTGGGTACAAGGGAAAAAACCAAATACATCCAACGGCAGCCCCCTCTCCTTCCCTCTCCTTCCCTCACCTTCCGAGCAGACAGAATTTTCTATTTCTTGTGTTTTTTGTTTGTTGGTTTTTTCCGTCAGCGTTTTCCCAAATGGTCGAGCGTTTGTCAGTGGGAAAATCACACAGAAATGCGAGAGTGCACGAAAAAAGTGCACCACCCACCGCCCACCGCCCGCTGCCCGCTGCCCGCTGCCAGGGTTGTCATTGCCAACCAAAAGCTCAAAGCAGCATTTGCTGCTGTTGCTGCTGTCGTTTCATTTTATTTACAGCACTCGGGACACTGGCGGCGGGACACAGACGACAGCCACGACAGCCACGACAGCAACGACAGTTTGTATGCAAACCATATGAAGCGGGTTAATAAATGGGGAAACACTGGTGTAGTGGGTGCCCGGCGTGACGGCTGATGACATGGCAGGGGGTCGCTCGAGACCTGAGTGTTGGTTTTGTGTATTTTGGCATGTTGCATGTTTCTCTCGCCGTGGAGTGGAAACTACCGACCACGGGCTGATCTTTATTCATTCTTTACTTAGTATTTACCGAAGAAAACCCCGGCTGGAAGCCCCAGAGATCGTCGCATCCTGTAGAGAACTCCATACGTTACGCGTGCAACCGCTCCACATACCCGCGCGATCGCAGTCAGTGCAGGGTATCAGCTCGCTGGGGCTTAATGCCTTGCGTCAACAATTTGCAGACGGGCACTGCATGCAACCGAACCGATTTTTTGTTGCATGCTCTTTGGAGTATCAATTTTTTGTGTTGTTGCTGCGGCAAGTAGTGCATTGTCCGGCGCGGAGTCCCCAGACATGTCCGAGCATGTGTAGCCACAATTTGGAGATGATTTTTGCTGGTTTTGTTGATTTATTTGCTTACTCGTAAATCTAAGCGCCTACACATGCCGCCTGTTGGCGGACGTTCATTTAAATTAAAACCCTTAAAAGCGACTGAAATGAAGGAAGGACAAAGAGCATAGATATGTGCATTGGATGTGCGGATGTGGGGGTAGGGGCTATAACAAAGATGTCCAGAGTGACTGACTACGGGCTCCACGGACACTCAGCCTCCAGTCTCCCGGCAGCTCCGCCCAGAGCTTCATGTGGAGACGGACGGATGGATGGATGGATGGATGGCTGGTTGGCTCCTCAGCGTGGCTGCGGCGGCGGCAGGGGTCCCACGCCCGGACAGGGCATCCGCTTGGCCAGGTGCTTGCACAGCGGCACATCCCGGACCGCATCCCCGATGAACAGCGACAGTAGATACCATTGTTTCATTCCGCCGTCGTTGCTCGATTGCACTTTGTAGTTGCTGTTGGTTCAGTGGTTCAGTGGTTGGATGGTTGGATGGTTGGATGGTGCACGGTTGCAGTCGAGAAACAAAAAGCGGATTACAAAAATAATTACTTATAAGTAAGCGGGTAATATGTATACAAAACAACAGAGTTACCATCTCCACCCATTCCCTTTCTCTCCATACTTATTCCAGCTTCCATCCCAGCAGAAAACTCAAAGCAATTTGCAGAAGCAGACACAATGCCAGAGTAAGGCTCCGTATGGTGTGGGGTTTGCTTGGATTATTTGTGTAATGGTTGCATGCTACTTATGAAGGGGGTAATGCCTTTCTGTAGACCCCACCCAGGCCCCTGGAGGCAGTGAATGGTTGGGAAACGGGAGAGTGGAAGCCGTCGTAGGGTGTAGCAGAAGCAATTCTTAAACAGTAGTTGATTAGTAAGCAGTCATTTATCACTAATTAAAAGTAATACATTGTACCTGAGCACCCTCAACCACTACTCGTTCTGCCTTGTCGATACTCTTGTGCGATACCCGCCTCCATCGATGTTTCAGTGCGATAACAGCGATGCAGATGGCACCTCTCTCTCTCTCTCTCTCCCTCTCTGGGACTAGCGATCGAAATGTTGCACGTTTAACACAGAATAAAGTTATTTCAGGGAAACCAAATCGACGCATTTATCGCTAATTTCAAGCACTATCGATAACAAATTGATGCGCAAATATTCGTTTATCGTTTGGGGATTGCGTTTAAAATTTTTATTGTATTTATTCTACTTTCGGACCCCATTCAAAAAGCCAACTCCTTATCAAGACAAAAAATATTTAATAATATTCTCCTGTCCGTTGGCATTCATTTCATGAAAGTTATCCTCTCTGGGGAGTGGACCCTGCTGATTACTTTGTGATATGCTCTCTCTATATTCCATTTTTGACTGCACTCCACACCTATGGACGCCAATGGACGCCAATGGATGGACTGTTCAAATTTCACACGTCTGCAATGGCATAATTTAATCAACTCAGTAACAAACACATCTGCATTCGCCCTGCGGCAGGGGAAACTGTGGAAACGGGTAACAACAAGGGCAAACAAGAAACGGCAACACTGACCAAAGCCCAGACCAAACAGAAACAGAAACAGAAACCGAACAGAACAGGACGGAACAGAGCCGAACTCTTGGCACTCCCCACTGTGCACTTGCATAAATTTAATCAAAAACTTTAATCATATTTTATTATTACAAAACACGTTGTTGTCGTGGGGCCCGAACGTGGCAAAAGTAGAAAACTTCTCCTAATGCCAATTACATTTGCAGCGCAACGAAAACTAAACAAAACCATCAGAGAGACCCAGACCTAGACCCAGACCCAGACCCCAAACCTAGACCCCACACAGACTCAGATCTGAGTCGGGGACCAAAGGTGAAGGAGGTAGGTGTCTTGGCAGCCACAGACAGACGAACATTTCAAAAATAATTTTGAATATTTGCTCTTGACACGTTGGCCAAACAACTTTTGGCCATTTACGGGGGGGGGGGGGGGGGGGGGGGGGGGGGGGGGAGGATGGGGGCGGTGAAGGGCTGAACCATTTTGCACATTAAGTGTGAAAATGTCAGATGCATGTGGAAACCTTTTTGCGATATGACAAAATATTTAAATGGAAAATCCCCTGCAGCAGGCAGTAACAGCAGTAACAAGTAGCCAAAACAGGAGAATATTACATACACGACACGTCTGACCACGACGAGGACGAGGTGGAGGACGAGGTCGAGGACCAGGTCGAGGACCAGGGGCCTGCCCTAAGAAGCTTTTCTTTAATCTCGCCTTTGTTTGTTCTGCGGCAATGCTCTGCTCTGCTGAGCTGTGCTGTGTTTCCGGCTCTGCTCTTCTTAAATATTTCCAAATGGAATCAACAGTAAAAATGTTTTACTATCACTGACCAGTCAGACATGCCAAGCATCAGGAACAGCATCCCGTCCCTTTTATTGCATAAACTCGAATAAAAATTGCATGAAAACAATGCAGCCACCGACTGCGGGCACCGACGTGCGTGTACCCTGGCCGGTCTTTCGGCGGTTCAACCGAAAGAAGTGGGTCTCGATCCCTATGCATCCTTCGGAAGGGCAGTCGAAAGCGATATTCACGAGCAAGGGAAGATGTAACAGAGACAAGCGCATTAATTATGAATCACAGCAGCCCCTTGGCTGGGCGGGGGCTGGCGTTTAGGGGCAGAATAATTTCCTTCCTCATAACATTACCATGACAATGGCTCAGCGTCGCAGGAGGGGCGGAGAGGACGCGGCCAGAGGGCAACTAACTCATCAGGAACTGGGAAAAGTTGGTAACAAATTTATGTAAACTTACAAATTGAAATCCAAAACTAAACTCCAACTCAAAGCCAAAGCAATGACATGCACATTTAAACTCGAACAGAGACAGGGACACTGGGACACTGGGAGACACATCAGAATAGCTAGGAAATGCATTAAATTATGCACAGATGAGTTAGCAATGCCAATGACAATGGGCAATCGGTGGAGAATCGGTGGAGCATCGGTGGAGCATCGGGGGTATGGAGAGGAGGGTGCAGCGACAGCGACAACAAGGAGAAATAAAAATTGATTGGAAAACATTTCTACCCTGGCTAAAAACAAGCCATTCATTTGCCAAATGACAACAACAGCAGCGCCAAATCGCAAGCGTCGCAATAAGCAATGCAATCTGAGATACTCCCAGGCGGAGATCTGGCGGGGGCTGGGGGCTGGGGGCTGGGTGGGTGGAGGAGCTGGGAACCAGAACCAACAAAAGTTCAAGTTGTAACTGCCAGTTTCGGGGAGTAGCCATAAAGTCAGCGCTGCACTTAAGCAGCAAATGGAGCAGGACACTCGTGGCTGGAAGTCGCACCGGAAACACTCTACACTCTACCCTCTACCCTCTACAGAGAGAACTCTCTACTGTGGTCTAGGCCCTGGCGAAAGGTTTCCCCCGGCTCACGCGCTTCGATCGCTTTGTTATACATAGAATAAATAGATATACATATTTACACAGATCCGTTAGTTAGTTGCAGGCCACCATTAACCTATAGAAGGGTATAGCCGTAAGGACCTACCTCAAGACCTCCGACCAGGCGGCATGCGGCTTGGCCCTGCCGTCGCCGGGCGCACGGCGGTCGCTGCCCGCAGCACGTGACGCGTGCACGCGGCACGGCTCCTCCAGGATGCAGGCCCGTGGCCCGAACGCGCTCAGGATCTGCTTTTGGGCCAGCTCGGCGTCCAGGGCCAGCGGGTGGGCGGTGTCCCGTCTGCTGCGCGACCTGTAGGTGCCTGTGGCAACGAGAATGACAAACGAAGCGAATGACAAATGCAGCCATCAAGGGTGTCTGTGTGTGTGTGTGTGTGGGTGTGCGGGTGTGTGTAACGAATGCGAGAGCAAGTTTCGTTTTGTCTTTGCTGATTACTCAAGCTCCCTCTCCCTCTCTCAACGCGCCTTCCAGCTTTAAAGTTCATCGAAGAGTTCAAAGCAGTGCGGAGTTTTACAGCATTTCGCTTGGTTACGTTACTCATCTGCAAAGCTTATCGTCATCTCTATCTCGCGCTCTCGCTCCCTCGCTCCCGCTCTCTTTGCCTCCGAAAGCTTCGCTGAGCGACTCAGGCTAACGGTTCCGCCTCTGTTGTGGTCTTTCCGCAGTAGTTGGGACAGCCTTGACCCGATTTTTCAATCGTCGCCTAAGTGGACGTGCACGAAATCGGATCGGGTTTCGTTTCTGTTAACGGGCGAACGCCCCTCATTGCGGGGCTTTGTCCACCAAATGGTGCAATGCATTCGCGGTTTTCCCCAAAACTAGCTCAACTTTTGATGGTCCTAGGATCCTATTTGGAGAGACCCTAACCCTAACCCTGGCACTGAATCGGGCTAGTTGTGCAATTACTTTAATGACAAAAGATACTTCCTATATTTGTGCAGCTTTCAATGCGAAAGAAAGCGAAATTATTATCCAACTTTCGATGAACTTACGCATTAAATTCCTGCACTCAAGTCAACAATGCAAAACACTTAATTTATGCACAACATATGTCCACAGTAACTTTCACTTGAAAAAAAAAAAAAAACCAAAACGCCGAAAAGCAAGACAACAAAATATTGACTTCCAAGAGGGCCAAGACTTTCGCGCACCCAGACCGAGGACTTACTTGGACTCAGGGAGTAGGCCAGCTTCCTGGCGAACTGCGAGAGGCGGACGGAGAGGACGATTACCGGGAAGCCGACCAGTTGGACGGGCAGCTCGAAGAGCGGGTCCGGGTTCTGGGCCAGGCCCTCCTCCACGAACTCCAGCAGCAGCACCAGGAGCACGCACAGCGTGGGAACCAGCGAAAGAGTGCAAATATATCGGAGATTCATGGTCGTCTGCTGCTCTGCTGCTCTGTGCGACAAACAGTTGTGCAATATGTCCAATGCGATACACGGTCGAGCGATTCGATTCGATTCGATTCGGTTCGGCCAAGCGGCAGGCAACTTGAGGCGCTTAAAGTCTTTGACTGACTGAAGCGACTGGGACCCGCTTGGAGCCGCCGAAGCGCAGCATAAAAGACAAAACTTAAACTCAAACAAAAACTAGAGAGAGGCAGACAGAGACGGAGAGAGGCACACAGAGAGGGAGAGAGAGATAGAGACAGAGAGACGCCAGGTGTAAAATCACCTGTTGTGTAAAGCGTCGTCGAGCATACCCCGTGCTCGACTCGTGCAATATGCATGAGGATAGGCAGTAGACAGAGGAAACAGCAGAACCCACGACGATCTTCTTTATTTGAATTTTTCAAGTTTTATTTTTGGAAAATATAGAATATTTTTTTGATAGAGCTGAATCGTTTAAATCTAAAAACTGGGTATCCCATAGTCGCTATAGAGACCAGAGTGTTCTTTCGTTTTTCTTTTTGTTGTTTCCAGGCCAAGTTTGTTTTGCATTTTGACCAAGTTTCGGTGCGGAAGCCAAAGACAAGTGAAAGTGCGGCGCGGCACAGAGCGGAGGGTGGAGGGTGGAGGGCGCAGGCCTAACTAGCCAAACGGGCTTCCACTTCCACTGCCAGGCAGTGCTCACTGTACCAGACAGACCTCTCTCTCTCTCTCTCTCTCTCTCTCTCTCTTGCTGGCCGCTCTCTGTGTAATTATTTAAAAGTTATGAAATATCCCACCTCAAGGCTCTCATTAAACGTCTTAGCATTTGGACTTGGCTCATTTCGGTTTCCTTTCGGTTTCCTCTCGGAATTTCTGTTTGATTTTTTCGCTATTTTTACCGCGTTGCCTTGCATATCAATTACTTCATTTACTGCCGCGGCGGTCGCTCCACTTCCATTTCCGTCTACGCAACTGTGGGACGAGGTTTTCCCCCCCAAGTTTCCCGGTATACCCGTGGAAAAGCCGTTTGCGGGGGCTGCTAATGGAGTAATTTGTTTTGTTGACATTTCAGCATGGGTTGGGGGTCAAAGGTCTGCACCGTCCGAGTGGCAACAGGCGGAATTCCAAAGTGGAACCAATCCGAAAGGAATTTGCATAGTAGAGCTAGTGGCTAGTAGCCCCATATTTATATATTCCCGATCGAATGAGTATTACTTCCACTCGAAAAGAGATTGGAAAAGGTAAACCAGAATGAAGAAAATACATTTCCCAGCGTACCCGCTTGCTTTTCCTCTCCCAGTGTGGCCCTATACCCTATTCCCACTGGCCACTGCTCATGAATGGCGCCGGTGTGCAGAGGGTACTACGATTTTTCTGTCCGGCATGTGCTCGAATCGTCTTTCCTTTCGTAATGATTTTTCGCATAAACTTGGAATTTTAATTGACAAAATAATAATTAATTAAATTAATTGCTCGGCAGATGCCATTAGACGTTCGATATTTACTCGGATCCCCTTACTTTTCTTCCAAATGCAACCTTGCGGCTCGAGCTTGCAGGCCAATCGATAGTTCTTATCGAAATTGGCTTCCTTTTGCTATTCGGCAACTCGGAAGATGGTTTGGTTATTGCACCTCGGTCCTAAGCAGCTTTTGCTGTACAGTAGCAACCAACCGTTTCGTATTTTCCGAGCGTACACGCAGAATGAGAAATCGGCAGTGGTGAAAATAAAATCTAATCACGACTCTTCTTGCCAAGCATTCACCGTAAAAGTAGATGCTTCGGAGGCCCTGAGGAGCATTACGTTGCAGGATGCATGCTTTGAGAACTTGAGTCCTAACACTGTAATATTCGAGTGTTACTTTAGAAGTGATGAAAATGCCGCTGTCAAGCCACCAGGTGAGTCGAATAAGAAACGCGGTGAGGCGTTCACGACCCAGACCTTTTTCTTTCCTTTGCAGATGCTGCCTCTGAGAAATCAGATTAATATGAATAGTATCCAACTGCTCTCAACTGAACAAATAATGTCTTCCAGGATGGATTACTTAATGCTAATTACGTATCCAACGATTCCAACATTGTACAACTCACATTCCAAGAGGCCATTCCGCACTTTTCAAGCGTCTGCGATGACTCATGCAGCGCCGCCATTGAAAATAACATCTGAGCAAAACACCCGGACGGCGACGGCGACTGCTACAGCAGATTGTAAAACAATCAGGGGAGAGATTATCAGCAATTAAACATTATTTGAGAACTAGGCAGTACCACAAAATTCATCTATTGTCATTATTTGACTGAAGAAGAAATCGCCCAAATGAGTGAAATATTTCCGCACCTGACACATTTTTTTCCCATGAAAAACCACACAGAGGAGGATGTTGCACTTAGCAAGCCGGAGACCGGCTTGGGGTGATTCTAAAAACGTGCATACCTAAGAATCACCTGGAAAAGTGAGTGAAAAGAGACCTGAGTGATTTTAAATCACTGAGACTGTGCTTTTGCTACGGCACCGCTGAGGTTATTCATGCTCGTGTTTGTTACTTCGGCTCAACACTAATCGTACCGACTGTGAGTATGATTTTATTCATGTGGTCAGCCGTGCGAGTGCTCCCAGAACCGAAGTCTTGGATGTTGTGGATGTGTGCGTGCGAGTCTGTGGGTGATTTTTGTGATCCGAACGAAGCGGTTCAGCGCATGAATAGAACAAGTAGATATTCGTACACATACATACATCTGTTTGTAGCTGTTTGTATACACAAAAGCGTGCTATTTCGCACCAACAAAACCATTATGTATTTCACAAATATGAGAAAGATCTCTGGTTGGCCAATCCCACAGTTCAACTTGTACATGTTTGCCCAGGTATTTAGCACTGTTTAGAGCTAATTCGTATCTGATGGGATGGGTCAAGACAATTATCAGTTGAGGCAGGCTGAACGAACTCCACGAAGCACGTGCCACTGGATCTGGCTAATGAAAAGCTAGGAAATCAAGTGAGCAAAACCCACTCGAGGCGTGGGACTTCAATTGAAAGAATATTTCACTCCATACTTGTAACTTCATGAAGAGAGTGGTTCAATCAGTCAGTTGGCCAAGCCACAGGCCGAGAGAGCGAGAGAGAGACCTGTCGGACGAGCTCTGACGACTCGACTCACGTAGGCCAGAGTTACGCAATCGAATGGAGGAGACTCCATCGGATAGGATAGGATGCCACTACCGCTATAGCGGAATTGCTCTTTCGCTGTATCAAAATTGTGGCTTACATTTTATGCAGACCATTTTTCGCTTTACCGTTGGCTTTTCGCCTCTGTTATGATTGGATTTAATTGATGCAGCGACTGGGACTGGGAAATGGGGCTTCTCGTGGGGGCTACTGTGGTGAAGCCCCGCCAAAATATGCGGAAGTTATTAGTGAAAAGAAACCCGACAGCTGACAGAAGTCTGGGACAATGGCGCTCCGGCCCGATCCGGCCCCCGCTCTCCGGCATTACATAAGCCGCCAAACAACTTGTCAAGAGTGGGGCCGAAAAAGGCTGAAAGCAGCCAGCCAGCCCCAGTCCGAGCTCGAGCTCGAGCCAAACACGGGATGGATTTGGGCCAGGCCAAACAATGAAAGTTGCGCACAGAAAGGCACGGCACGCAAGCAGCGTAACAACTACAACTACTCGTACTCGTACTCGTACTCGAATGAGCACATGGCTCGTACATAAAGCAAATCTGACCCAATTTCCTATTTGATATTACACACGATTTGTTTGCATTTATTGTTCAGTTTTAGTGCAGGTCTGTTGCCAAATTGAACGAACGTGGAATCTCAATTGAAAACTTAATTTTCTTTCGTTTTCACCACAATTTCGATGGGCCCCCCCTACCCCCCCTACCACCCGACGCTTTGGTGGACCTCTGAATCATCCAGTCAGATAATCAGATAATCATTGCACAGAGCCTTTTAATTCCACCATCAATATGTTTTGTCATAATTCGGCCATTTCGCTCGCATTCCCATGGCATTCCCATGGCATGCCACGGCACTCTTGCCAGATGTGCCCGGCATGCCCAATCCGCCGCAGTCCCATCGATCGTTTGTAAACAAAGTGAAATATATTCTCACTTTTTGCGCAATGTCACTGGATCCATTCGATTTGCATATAAACTGCTCTCCGGCGTGATTCTCGATCCAGCCACTAAAAATACGAGCATGTGTGCTTTGTTTATCGCCTTCAAGGTGTGTGGCACCTGTATTTTCGGGCAACGCCTGAAAGTATGTGGACGGAATCGTCGCAAGCAAAGGCCCAAGCAACACAAGAGTGGAGTGGACAAGTCGTTGAAGGCTCAGTCTTCCGTGGGTCTATTAGAGGGCGGGAGGGCCTCTTAAAGGCCTTCATGGGGCTTCCTGGGGGTTCCTGGGGGTTCCTCAGAGCTGTAGATGGATTTCCCTGACCTTGAGTAGTCTTTCCACGGGCCTTTCCTCCCTTCGGTACTGCTTTTGGCTCTTCCAAAAATTGTGTTACGTTCACCAAACTATGTATTTCCTGTTCTGGTATTCCGACCATTGCATGTTAGCCACCAATTTAAAAGCGATCAAACAACGTTAGATGCACGATCAGACTTCGCCCCGACACGCGGCAGCGTGTCCAATGATTCATCTCGGAGCTCTCGCACAGGGTAAAACTGAAATGATTTGATGGCGGAGACGACGACCTTCCATTGCATAACAATTTCTATAAATAATACGATTTCAGTGCCAGCGGGCGACCGATCGCTTCCTAGGCACTCAGAGATGCACTTGAGAGAGCGATTAGCAAAGCGTTTCACAAATCACCCAAGGGTGACAGGGCACAAAACAGGATCCCCGCCCCTAATGAAGCGAAGATCATTAGGGTGGCAAGCCCGCCCAGAAGGCCAGTGAAGGCGATGAACAATACAGGTAATTTATTAACATTTACAGGAGCGTCGAACTTACGCTAGATCGTGACTAGAGTCACACTTAACTACTGACTACTGTACTAGACAACAACAACAAAATAAAGGGCTCGCAGCCAGCGAGAGCTGCGGCCCCATTGTCACATCAGTCATGCCTCGGACTAAGCCTAGGGTCTTAGATCTAGCGATTGGACTAACAGTAGGGGAATTATACAAGGTAGGCGCGAAAGGTAGGTAGTGAAAACATATGGTACAAAAGCTGAGGTCTCTATCTCTAATACTTAATGCTCTAATATATAGATAGACAGACAATCATTGTCATTGCAGATCAGATGGATCGGATCACATGGTCGGATCACAGTCCTAGACCTTGACTTTGTAGCTCAGCTTCATGAGCTTCTTGGAGCTGATCGGGCAATTGGGCCACAGGTTGGCACAGCCCATCGGTCCGCTCAGGTTGTCCCCGGTGTGGCGCATCAGCTCCCCCATGTGGGCGGCAAAGTACCACTTGCTCGGCGGCATGTTCATCATCCAGGGCATGGTCGGTGATCTGCGAACGGGCACAATAGCACAATAGCATCAATGTTAGACGGAAGCTTCAACTGAGCAACTGAGCAACTGAACAAATGTTAAATATTATAATAAGCCATTAACGTTTCACGCTCCGCCTGGTCGCCTGGCCGCCTGGCCGCCTTTTCGCTGCAGGCTCTGTTCAAGTTTCGCTTTCGGTAGTCGGTCGTCAGTGTCTCTCTATCTAGAATGCCTATGTATACTAAGCCATTCACCTTGTTGTCTGTTCTCTGTTGTCTGTTGTCTGTTGTCTTACTTGTGTAGATATATGCTGGCTAAGCTTTTACATCGGCCTCGGCTCACCTTCGTCTCAAGTGCGAGGTTACACCTGAAGTTGACTGCCTGTCTGTCTGTCTGTCTGTCTGTCTGTGAGGTAGGTTATGACTCTCTGTCGACCTGGAACCCCCATAGTTGTGTGTTTATCTCTGGCAAACCAAGTGCTAGTGCTGCACTTTAATCGGAGACTCGTTGAACGCCCCTCTCCATATGGAAACCTAATGGCTTTCAATCAGTCGAACCCTTGGGGAACCTGTTTCAAAAACAGTTTCCCAACTGTGTTGGGCCTGTAAATAGTTCACCCAAGAACCGGTTTCATTAGCTGCAATTTTCTGGCCAAACACTCATCGAGTTCTGTGGGCAAATGTGAGTCAGATGGGCTCCCAGATGTACCCCCCATCCAAATGGCAGCACTCGTGTGATGCAGCTTCGGCTATCTTTCAAATCATGCAAATGTTTCTGCAACTGGTTCTGTTTTCAGTCCCCCGTTGACATTTCCATTGGACTCCAAGCCACGGAGGCAGCACCTGATCTCACCTGATCAACCTGAGCAGCTCGCGCTCCTTCTCGCTGAGCTGGTAGTCCGGCTTCGAGGCCAGTTCGCAGAGCATCTTGGGCAGGCAGGACTCCTTGATGGTGTCCGTCAGCTGGGACTTGGTCTTCAGGCTGGCTCCAGTCACCACGGCCATGCCCGGCTTGAGGGCGGCCGCCGCCGAGAACTCATTGAAGTCGTGCTCTAAAAAATAGGGTGCAAACAAAAGTTAGTTGTTCCCATCATCGATTACCCCCTGATTTTGGCATACTGGCTTTCTAATTAAGATTTCGGGAACTGCGCAAAACAGAAAGATCTTTACGGTGACGGTGGCGAGGGCGATTAATAACGATTATAATCAAAAGACAAAACAAGACTTTGGCATTCCAACAATGACTAATATGTTTATTGTGTGGCCACAGCTGGGCTGTCAGTCGTTTAAACAAGTTTAAAAAGCCGTCAACAATTTGGCAAACACAAATATATATAGAAATTGAGAGTGCTACGCGGCGTATTAGTATTCCTGTTTATTTCGTCGAGTGCTCATCAAATATTTGCCCGCCTCTTCGCCCAATCAGCTGTTGCAAATTTTTCAACGTTTTTTTCTTAATGACTCCTCCGCCCAGTCACCAGCCCCAGCCACCAGCCACCAGCCCCGGACAAGGCCAAGCCAAACCGTTGAACTTTACTTTTGAATATTTGTTCAGTCATCCAAACACTGAACACTGGCTTTATTATTAATTATGGTCTGCGGTGAGGTGTCCGTCCAGTGGAATATTCATTCCCATTATGTTTTAGCCGGCTAGGCCCGGCACGGCCCGTTTCTGGTCGGAAACTCTTTTGGATATTGACCTTTGAATGCGGAACCGAACCGATGCAAAACCCTATCACATCCATCGATCGCTGATCGCTGTGTGAAAATCCGGCGGAGGGAAACTCGTTTTCAGCCCATGGCCTCTTGGGCTCTCAATTATCCAGTTTACTCATCGAGAAGTGCAGTCGGGCATGACTCGACGGGATTTGTCGTTGGTTGGTTATAAAAATATGGGAAACTTAATGTTTTTAAATCGGTTGTATGGGGTATTCCGCCCACAATTGAGGTCCAAGAGACACACTCGTGTCTTGGGCTCTCTAATTGGACAAACCAGTTAATTAGCTAATCATTAATTGTCTTTGTCTTTTCAGGTTTACGGAGATAATGAATCGGGCGAATTCTGTGGAATCCATCATTATTCGGGCCTTCTTTGGGAGGTTCTGAGCGCCGTCCAAGGCTATCGCTGGAGAACAGACTCTTCTCCATCCCAGAGGTCTTTGCGCTCCAATTGCACGTAATTGAATGGAAATGTATACAAATTGAAGTGCATTTCGAACACGTAGTGCATTCATCAGCGAAACGCTGACACTCGTTGGTGAAAATCGGATACGGATACGAATACGTGCGAACGGGCGGCCGGCCGGGCATTTACCACCGATTAACACAAATATCCGAAACATACAACAATTATCATACGCGGGGGGGTTGGGGGGTATAGAGGGGAGCCAGCACCAGCATCAGCATCAGCACTCACTCTCGGTTTCCGTTGAACTCGTTTCCATCCGACGAGACACAGCCTCTTCATTTGGGGCCACAGCGATTACGTGTGGATCGGGGAACCGGTTCTGGACTGGCATCTGAATATTTCCCAAGCCCCAGCCCAGGCCCCAAGCCCGAACCCAAGCCCCAAGCCCCAAGCCCGTGCCCAAGTCCAAGCGGACGGAATGTCTTGCCTTAGTTCTGTTCGATAAATTAAGTGTCACAAATCAAGTCAAGTTTTCTTCACTTCCTGGTTGCGTTGGTCAGTTAGAAAAATGGAATGAACTTTGAATGCCTTGGAAGACCGGCCCGATCGGAACGGAACTGGAATATCAAGAGCCAAGAAACGAAAAGAAAAACCAGCAAGAGAGCAACAGAGCAGAGGAGCAGAGGAGCCCTCCCCCACTGTAGGAGTATTGCTACGTGTTTCCAAATGAACTCCGCGACTCTCCGGGAAAGTTGAGATGCAATTTGAGAGACCCTCCCTCCCTGCCTCCCTGCCTCCATGCCTCCCTGCCGCCCTGCCTCTGGCATCATGCAAAGCGAAAACTTGTTGTTTGCGACGGGTTTTATTGCGTCAAGTTTATTTGCCTGGGGTTTTTCCACTTTCACCTCAAACAGAGACCCGACACGAGCACAAGCACAAGCACAAGCACAGGCACAGGCATTAACCAGCAGATGGCAGACAGAAGATGGCAGATCTAGGGTTCATCTGGGCCACAGCCTCGGCCACTAGTACTCTGTAGAGAGGCTAGCCTCAGATCCAAGAGAGTCTGTCGGGGCTCCAGGGTGTGCTCGGACGTTGGCTAGGGATCTGCTCGGGATAGCTCTACCTTTGAGGTGACTTCGTTGAGGTTTACCCCCGGCTAGGGCTTCCCGAGTCAGCTGGACTAGCTCGTCCATGACCCTCCAATGCAAATGCATTCAACGGCGAATGTTTTCCCACTAGTTCCATCGATACCATTCGGTTTTATTGTCTGTATAGACTCGTAAAAGTCTCGTATCTTTTCCGGTTTGCCCTCTACATCGTGCCAATTCGTTGCGTAATGCCCCAACCTGTGCTGTGGTCGCGACTCTTATGTCATTGTGTGTCGGTTTGCTTTTATTTATGCAAATCGCCGAGAAAGCGCCGCCACAGAAGTGTCTGCAAGTCATCCATCTACGAAAGCCTTTCGAGCCATCGCCGTGCCCATCTCTCAAACATGGACTTCGATGGCGTTGAATAGTAATTCGCCTCAGATTTGCATGGGCAATTTCCCAGACCAAGACAGGGGCGAATGAGTAGGGCGTGGATTAGAACTCGGCACAGAAGGCTATGGGCCACGGCCTGCTATACTTTGTTCCCCTGCCAAGCAGAAGCTCTGTACCCCCCAAGTAATCATATACTCTCCTCTCCATACTCTCCACAGGCTCCACTCCATAGGCAGACGCACGGCGTGGCTTAGTCATAAAATGTAAAAAAAAAAAAAAAAAAAAAAAAAAAAAAAAACTTAACGACCCCGCAATGTCTAGTGGAAACTTTTCGTAGAAACTGTTTGATATGCCAAACAACATCTGAACTCGTCTTAATGTTTTCGGGTACTTAATTCTCTAAACATTGCCCGCACGGATCATTAGAGCGGCGAAGAAAATGATCTCTAAACGATCGAAATGGGGCCTCCCAAGACGTAGGATTGATTTCCCAGTAAATATGAAAGTTCAAATCATTATAAAACCCACCGTAGGTCATGCCCCGAATGCACTTATTAAATTCTGGGCACATTTTAACGAGCTCTCCCGTACATTGGTCTCCCTCGACTGCGGTTCCGGGTTTCACCTTCCAAGCAACAGAAAAAAAAAAAAACTGCTCGTTTGAGGAGAGAAAAGTGTAATTAAACATAAGCCCGAGCTGTGGCCCACACGTGCCTCCAGGCCCGTACAAGTGGGACTCCATTTGTGGAACGAAATTAACCTTGATGACGCCAAATACGAAAGCGAATTGGCTATTGCATAACGAAAGATACATGCACGAGTGTACCAAAATAAAATCGAAAAATGTTCACCGAGTAAAACGGTTTGTCAACCGAAAAATCACCAAAAAAAAAAAAAAAAAATAGCTAGGCACAAAAGGAATTATGAATGCACCGAAGACAGATACACACTTTACGGAGTTTCGGTTTTTCGCTAAGCCCCGGATAGAATATACTTTTACACTTTTCAAGCCAAACATGACTTTTCTGGTCCATTTCTGGTGGAGGGGTTCTGGGGCCAGTGTATGCCAAAATATGGGGGGCAATTGCTGGATATAATGTGATGGGCCACTCACCTTCGGTTATGTCGATCTCGGCACTCTTCGACTGCTGGAACTTGCTGGCTGCCGCAGCCGCTGGGCCTGGACCTGTGGGGGCGCCAGGAGCACCGGCCCTGGCGGCGCCAGCCCCGGCCACGGCACCGCTGCGCACGCCCACCGAATGGTTGTCGCCGTGGTCGGACTTCATGCCGCCGCCGTAGCCGAAGAGGTCGCCCACCAGCAGCAGGGAAACGATCCCGAAGATCATCAGGCGGCAGCGCCAGGCGGTGTCCATGAGAGCCATAATCAAGCAAAATTAGCGCGAATTCGAACACACGTTTCACAATACAATAACAAAAAAACAAAAATAAAAATCGACCGTATAGCTCGACTGACTTATATATTTTTTGGATCTATTAGCGCCCTTATTTTGACACTTTTTTCAATGGCAAGTAGTCGGGCAATCGAAACGCGAACAAAATGAAAGTCGCTGGGAAAAACGAAAGTCGTATTTTCCAGATTAATGACTGAACATGCAAAGAGCGGCAATTAAATTTGGCATTCAAGCGCATACAGCATATGGCATATGGCATACGGCATATGGCTCGTTAGTAACTGTAAACCCGAAATACTCGCCGCACGCTCGCTTAAATACACACGGAGAGAGGGGGGCAGCAGGCGATGCGATCGGTGAACGTAGCTATTTTGTATGCGGTGTGCGGTATAGACGGTGTGCGTCCGACTCGACTCTCAGGCGGCTTGCCACTGAACCGAGCCGAGCTGCACAGAAGAAATACGGCTGTGGTCTACCGCCCGATCAGCTGTTTCGCGAGCCAGAGAGACTACCCGACCAACAGCTGTTTGCGAGAGAGAGGGAGAGAGGGCTGTGTTACTACCTGTGCGAGAGACAGCGCTCTCGGCTTACCTGTTGCCGCCGTCCGTTCGCTCACTTATCGCACTCACTGTCACTCACTGCTGCCGTCCATCATATGGTATAAGGTTTGATTGGAGTGAACGTATGTATACTAGTTGGACTGGACGACTTGCAAGTTCGACCACCCGAAGGAGGCCAACGACCCAGCCACCCAGCCACCCAGCCACCAAGCCACCCAGCCATGGGCACCACCGCTCCGTTCCGTTCCGTTCGACTTTACTCGAAAGAAGATATTCCCCCTTATCTAGGGTCTCGTGTTGAAGGACTTTCAAGTACAGTCCTCTATACCTGCCCAATGTCTGGGTGGATCGGGAGGCCCTTACCTGCCCATAATCACCGAAATTCTGCTGCAAGTCTGACGCGTGCTTGTCACGTAGACCACTCACAGAAATGGCAAATGTTTTGGTGATTTTATGACAGGTATGTCCCAAGACAGATGCCAATTGAGGCCGAAAGGTCGTCGAGAATGATTTATGATCTATGCGATCCGACAAGGCCCACTGTGCGTAGAGCATCTCGACTGCAGCCAGCCGCACTCTGCCGTCAACGGCCACATGATGCAACAAGCAGCAATCAAATCGAGAAGGAGCCACGACCAAGAAAAAAGCTGAAAGAAGCTGAACCAAGTTAAGTAATCGGACGGGTTAAATGCGCAATCGGAACGTGACTTAGCCGTGGCCGGCAGTCGCCCAAAAAATTAAAGGTAGCAGCGACAACTTTTTCTCATTGCAGTTCCGAATTGCAGCAGTCAAGTGTGGAGTGCAGTCGAACGACTCGCAGCGATCTTGGGGCTGACCAGAACAGGCCAGGCCAGACCAGGCCAAGTGCTGGGTGTTGGGTGTTGGTCGGAGCTCCATTCGGAGCAGCTGCAAAAAGTACTAGACCTCGCTCGACTCACGGCGCGCGGCATTCGTTTGCTTAGCTTGCCTTCAAATTGCCACCGTGGCTGTCCTTCAATTGCAGCTACGCCCTGGCCCCAAAAAGAGCGGCGAGAGGAAGGTTGGCCGCAGCTGGGAATACCCTACAAGAGACCCAACCGGCAACTGCAACTACGATCCAACGCTGTAGCACACTGAGGCTGTGAAGTGCATGGCCCTTCCACTGGGAGAGGGTATGGCTTGAGAGAGAAATAAGTACTCGTTTACACAAAAAACATTTTGCGCCTCGAAGGTTAAGCAGCGCAAGTGAACGCCCAAAGAAACGCAGAGGGAGAACAAAATACATGGGAGATTCGACTTCCACTTCGACTTCGACTTCGACTTCGACTCCATAGCCGTCTGTGCACCGAAGCATGTGAAGCTCTTGGGAAGGTTATTTAAATGTACAATTTTGTTGTGCAAATGGAACAGATTTAGTATCAGTAGCCACACTCGCAGCGGCTGGAGATGCCTTCAGACAGCGGTCCCAATTGAAGCTGGATAAAGGACAGATACGACACTGTCTGCGGGTGGATTTCCTTCGTGGGAAACGAGAAACGAGAACCAAACAAGACCCAACTAGATCTTTCGGAATCGTGCGGCCAACAATAAATTGCCTTTCCGTTCCGATTCAATTCAATTCAATCTATCTAATGTTTATTATTTTCTGTTGATGCTCAACGTTTGTTGCTTTTGTTTGGAATCGATCGACACAGACTCGTACATTGGTAGACTGGTAGTTTTTGGGGGTCTGGGAACATTTGAAGAGCTTGAGATCATTTTGTTAGCATGTTTTTTCTTTGAATTTGGAATCAACTAAGGAGGCTCCATCCGAAGGAATCAAGAATATATCTAATTATTCAGTTGGAAACTAAGTAAATTCCATATTTCGGAGCTTATGTAATCAGTCTCCTGCAATAGAAAGTGTTCACTTTTATCTCTCATGTCTCTTGTCTCATCTCTGATCCAAACAATCACCAATTTCAGCATCTGTTCATGGGCAATCGAGGACCCGGTAGTCACTAAAAAACGACGGTGTACATTGAAACCATTCGCCATTAAAATGTTCATGAGGGCGTCTAGATGTCCGTTTAACACATCCGTTATGACATTAATGGTCCCCATGGAAATAGACTGCAAGTTTTTGCATTCTCCAAGAACTTCCAGAAAAACCTCTGCAGGAAATCCGTTGATTTGCGGCCCCTCTAACTGTACTGTCAGACGTTCCAATGTGAGTGCATATTTTGCGATGATTTGTCCAATGCTAACGTTACGACATTCGTTGCAAAACAGGGTCAGCGAGCGGAGCTTCGGACATGATGGCAAGACTGCACATAATCCGCAGAACATAAATGTAAGGCTTTCCACTTGAGGATACACTAAATCATGATAATGATCCACTGAACATGTCGTGTTGTCCTCTGCTGTTATTACACATAAAGTCTTAAGTTTCTTCAGATGAACGCATTCTTCAAGAATATGGTTTACGCTTGCGCTACTGTCCGAATAAATCGTCAAATATTCCAGGTTTTCCAATCTCTGTAAGTGGTTGACTATAGCATAGTCATCGAGCGCACATGTAAACGAAGTAATTGTCGGATAATTCGATATTAAATAACGTGGATAGGACAATCTTACCCCCAGAATTCGAAATACAGAATATTTCCAATCTTTTGCAGCCTGTATTAATGTCAAGAAGAATATCCGATTCCACATGTCCCGGACTCCAAATCTGAATGAATTCGAGGTCTTTAATGCTTAAAATGGATTTGATTGCGGTGATATTCCCATTTGATACACACAATTGAGCGCGTGCCAATTGAGAGCAATACTTTGGCACAAGTTCTATAACTGACGTCCCAACAAGGAGATCAATGTTAATTTTGACTACAGAGTATCCACACGTTGCCAGAATGACTTTCAGTTCGTCGTCTGTGAATTTGGAACAGTCAAGTTCTGCGTATCGTCCGCAAGCATGGAAGAGAAGTGCGCTTCCAAGTTTTTGGTGTGAGTCGGCAAAATTCAGTTGGTCCTTCTCGTCCAGGTAACCGAACAGTTTGTCAACGATCTCCAGAGGTAAGTTTAGTAGCATTTTGTAGCAAAAGTAGCAAAAAAGAACAAAAATCAAAAAACACAAAAAAAAACACGTCTTTGCAATGACACAGCACACAGAAAAAGAACATATAAATCAAAGATGGGAGTCCTTAAAGTTTGGCGATATATCGTGTACATAAATATATCGATGTTTATCAAGGGCATCCCTGGCATCTGGGTCGGCATTTAGTGGAATTTAATTCGAATTGGCTTAGAATCAGTTTTGGGCTATGTTCCATTCTCGTTGTCTCCTTCTATCCTTCGTTCTATTGCCACAATTCTAAAACGACTCTCTCTCTCTCTCTCTCGCTCGCTCTCAGCAAATAGCGAAGCTCGTGTGAAGGATAGGAAAAAAACGGAACGGGACTCTGTTTTGCTGTGTGACTTTCAGTCTCTATTCTGCGGAAAGAGCACATGTGTATGTGTGTGTGTGTGTGTGTGTGTATGTATGTATCAGATCCGATGGGACTCCGCTAATGCCTCATGAGAACAGCTGATTTTCACCAACAAATTTTGAACACGAACAACATGATGAAAAACAACAGAAAAATGGTTGAAATGCTCATATTTATCTACTAATTTCATCAATTCAAGGTAGAATTTTTGGGTTTTCTGCCTCATATGTTCCGGAATGAAACCTCTATTGTACATTAATCGATGTGTTTTTTAAACTAAATCTTATTGGCTCAACGCTTGGCAATTAAAGACATTTAACGCCCAGATTAAGAAATGGTTAGATTGGTTTGTCAATTAAATTAAGTTGCAGCAATAAATAGACGCGAAATGCGAAGAAATACACCCCGGCCGAGCGGCAAACGGAAGCAGAAGCACAAGCACAAGCCTCCATTGGGGGCTGTGGGGGTTTTTCTACACGGTATCCATGCACAGCAAGGGCATGCCCGGTTTCGATGGAGTCGTGCACTTTGAGGCAGGATGGAGTGCCTCTAATCGCCACAAGTTCTTTGTGGATAACCGGTATCCGATAAGCGACTCGGGCCTGTGTTTCTGTTGAGGCTGAGGGATGGTGGGGAGGTGGAGGAACCTCAGAGCAGGAAGGACACCGCCCGCGGCGTCCCGTTTATTTACATCACATTTAATTTATGCCAAACGCGTCGCGTCTTTGCATTTAATTGTGAAATTAAATTTGATGCGATTAATGTTGACACAACATGCGATTAGTGTGTGTGCACGGGTTAGTGGTCTCCTCGGCTCGGCTGGGCTCCGGTCGGCTCGGGTGGGTCCTTGTGGTTAGCCCCTTGGGTGCGTACCGCGAGGGGGAGTGGGGGAGTGGGGCACGGCATGGCCCGGTATCTCCCTCTATTAGCCAATCGACTTGCATTTGCCAAATAATCATTGTTGATAATATTGCAATATTCGATGGCAGGCGACGTCAGCGTGGACAGGCCTTACATAAACAATAATTAAATGTAGCCAAATTAAATTTTACACAAAAGCAGAAACCAAAGTGACAGCTGGGCGGGCCCCAACCTCGGCCTCGGCCTCGGCCACAGTCTCCTCCTGGGCTTGCAAATGTCTGCATAATTATGTGGTGCATGTGGGTGGTTGGGGCTGCCGCACTGAGTGGTTGAGTGGTTGGGTGGTTGGGGGATGCTTGTGGGTCTGTCGTGGCTGATAATATGCAGTTTAATTACAGAACACCAAGGCCCACAAACAACAATAATAGGCTCCCAAGTGGGGGCCCAGGAAGTAGTCGCTGCTGCAATGCTCTTTTCCAGGGATCGAGCTGCTAAGCTGCTCTGTGAGAAAGTCTTTTCAACATTGCGTCTTTTATCTCTGCTCAACACAAATCAAAGAGTAGCTGCTTGGTTGGTCAGCATTTTGGTGCATAAATTCAAATTAGTTTACCCTGCTCCCTGCCCCCTGCCCCCTGCCCCACCCATCCACCCGTCCTGCCAAACAATTCCGGCTTCTCCGACCCCCAACCCAAGGAAAGGGGCCGCGCATCACTTTTAATTTTCCATCCGAGACAATGTTCCTTCGTGGTCCTGTCAGGCGCACACATACACAGAGCACATGTCTGTGTGTGTGTGTGTGTGTGTGTGCAACGCTGTTTATTGGCATCTATTGGATAATGGAATTTATGCGAAACATTTGTTCGGCTTCGCCTGCACTTCAAAGGGTTATTGTGGGACTTTGTCCAGTTAGTTGTGATTAGGGCCATCGCCTGGCAACAGGCCCGGCCGGGGCCGGGGCCGGAGCCGGGGAGGGGCATCGCTTTAAGGTGTCGTTGCGTAAAAGCACTTAAACCAGTCGAAACGTTTTCTTCGAGGCACGTACTTGGCCATCAACAAAGGCTAATACTTGTCTAAATTGTCGTGAATCCATTGTCCAGTGTCGATACCTTGGAAGGGACTGGCATAATTTTAATTAAACTCATATTTATGTCATTCATTTGCGTTTTTCATTTAACAAAATGCCTCCTTGCTTTCCATAGAGAGAGAGTGAGAGAGAGAGAGTGAGAGACAGTGGGAATTGTTGACCGGCAGAAATATTAATTTCAGTCGAGTCCCATCCGTGTTAATTACAATTATTCTCTCGCTCTCTTATTGTGCTTTTTTTGTCCGGCGCTGTTGACTTTTTGTGTTAATTAGTGTAAATATATGAATATTGTGCGGTGCGGTGCGGTGCAGTGCGGTGCCCCCACTAGTTGCCACAGCGGCGCTCCAGGAACAAAGGACCCGAGGAGTGCATCAAATGGAGAATTTCCACGGCAGGACGTGTGCTCTGAATGATAATTAAACAAAACTTTATAATTAACAAATATGACAAATTGACAGCTGATTGGGGATCCTGGTCGTCCTCTTGGTAAACTGTTTTTTTTTTTTTTTTTTTTTTTTTTTTATGAAACTTCCGACAGTCGATTAATTTATTAATTTTGAATAAGTTTACTTTAAAAAAACACACGCACTCGTGCGTAAATATGATGAAACAATGGAAATGGAACACCAAACAGTTGAAATGTTTTGTATCGACGCACCCGTGCCCTGACATTAAGACACCCATCATACACACATCGGCATAACTATTTTTGACAAAAATTATGCACAACATATTCGGTTGTAACTTCTTATTTTTTCAAAGTATAAACTATATTTATTTATCGTAGATAGGTATTATATTAAGCTATTAACAATATGTAGAAAAAGTATGATAAGTGGGTTCATTGTGAAATGAAAATGAATTGTTCCCAAACAGACGGTGGCATGAGTATTTTGACATTTTATGAAATGTAGGAAAAAAACAAAAACTAATGGAACGAACTAACGTTTTATGATGAATCAGTAAAATATATATCCTCCCTTTGCGTCTATCACCTTTTGCAGACGTCTCGGAACTGAGCTGTGGATATAAGCCAGCAGAATTTCTCTCCAGAGTGACATCGCCTCTCATATTTTATTCTCACGGTTCCTTGTCAAATTTGGAGTCCGGTTTTTATATAAGACCAGAGATTCTCGATAGTGTTTAAGTCTGGGCTCTGGGGCGGCTAGTCCAAAGTATTAGCCCCAATGTCCTTCAAGAATTGGCCAACGACTTTAGCTTTATGACACGGGGCGTTGTCGTGTTGGAAGGTAAAGGACTCCCTAATAAAATTATCTCCAGAGGGGAAAGCATGATTGTTTAGCACTTCCAAGTACTTGTCTTTATTCTTGCTACCATCAACAGGAATTAAATTTCGCAGGCCATTGTAGGCGACGCATCCTTAAAACATTATGGTCCCACCTCCATGGATCGCTCGTACACATATAGGTGCCAATTTTTTGCGACGTTCTTTTAGGTTTCTTACGAAAACTATTTTTTTTTTGAGCCATGAAACTGAAAAGCACTTGCATCGCTCTATAAAAAATTTGTACAAAATTAAAATTGTTCGCCGATCAATTTTTGGGCAAACTCAAGGCGCTATAACTTATTGCTCTGTGTTATTTGCAGTATAGCTCTGGTAATATATGTTCCAAAAATTTCCTGTTTCCTTCAAGTCAGTGGGCACCGATCGAGGACTTTTCAAGACATCCTGTTTAAATCTACCTTGGCAGTGGTCTGCCACAACGCGTAGCGTTTTTTGCAGTGTTGGTTTTAAACAATTTTGTTTTTATAGCAGATTGTCTGACGTCTTGTCTGAAATATACTATATTTTACTGATATTTTGCACCGTTATACGGGTTTTTGCTTTCTATCAACAACAGATCAATGCAAATTAATTGAAGCTCTGACAAAATAATGGCTTGGCTTCAATGGCTTGAAATCGAACAGAACAGAACGGAACAGAGCCCAGGTGTTTGGCGGTATAGGACCGACCCTTGACCGACCCTTGCAACCTTAGAAACCCCTAGAACATCACCAGTTACAATCCACAAACTGATCTCAATACACCGGGTCTCTATTCGTCGCCACGTATGCCCGTAGCGAGATGGGTGGCTGCTTTTATGAGCGACTCGGATAAATTTGTATGCAAGAGACGAAAAACCCGTTTAAATTATAATTTGGTAAATAATATAAAAGGCGGGGGATAGAACTAAATTATTGCATCGACCGAACTGAACTCTGTTCTGTCGAGGCGTAGTAAGACGCAAATACCCAGACAAAACAAACGGAATAATGCCAGAAAAAAAAAAAAAAGAGTACTTAATGATCAATCGATCATGGGACAACGAAAAGTTCTTCGAATTGGGCAAGAACAGTGACCAATCGGGTCACTCGGCTGAGGGCGTTCAGACGACGATGCGCCGCTGATGGGAGCCCTCGATCTGCCTGCCATCGGTCCTGGGGTAGAGTATTCCCCGGTTCGACTTGGCAGTGTGGGCCTTACGATGGCTAGCACTTTGTTTACATCTTCGATCTGCCTGATCTTAAGTACTTAAACCCCTGGCGAGCGGGCAAAAAGAGTCACTTCAATTTCGCAGTGGCGGTGATTTGAATATACTTGAATAAACACGAATGTACACGAATATAGCCGTAGCCACATGCAAATATATACGGGTAGGGGCCCGCGTTTAGGATCTATATATGCACAGTGTTAATAACGTTGCCGACCCGACGGTTGGGCTTAATCGGTGCACGGTTGCACAATACACAAAAGCGGGATCATTGCTTAGTTGGGCAAAAGCGAAAAGCAAAAGCAAAAGCTAGAGCTAGAGCTAAAGCCAGAGCCAGAGCTAGCCCCCTTCCCGTCGCCGGTTTATGGGCGGATTATCTAGGGCCAGTCGCGGTGACGGTGACCCCTGAGGTTGGTGACCCAGACCCATCGGTTGTCGCGCTTAAAACGGTTAGTGCGCGATCCGCTCGAGGTAGTTGCAATTAAGAACTGCAAGCGCAATGGTCGTCTGGCTGGGACTCTGTCTACTGCTCATCGTTCTGTCCCTCTATCTGCTGTACGCGTTCGAGCGCCAGACGAGGATCGATCGACTCACCCACAACTGGCCGGCTCCGCCCTCCCTGCCGATCCTCGGCCATCTGCACATTCTGGCCAAGCTCGTGGGGCCGCATCCCTTCCGGCGCGCCACGGAGCTGGTGAACACCCATCTGAAGGATCATCGCGGCAAGCTATGGCTGGGCACAAAGCTCTACCTCGTCGACTGCAACCCGAAGGACATCCAGGCCCTGTGCAGTGCCCAGCAGATGCTCCAGAAGACCACCGACTACAAGGTGTTCGAGAACTGGCTCTGCGAGGGCCTCTTCACCGCCGACTACGACAAGTGGTTCCAGCGGCGCAAGACCCTCACGCCCGCCTTCAACTACACGATGATCAAGCAGTTCGTGCAGGTGTTCGAGCGCCAGTCCCGCATCCTGCTGCCCCGAGTCGCCGAGTATGCAGAGTCCGGCAAGTCCGTGGACTTTCTCGATCTGATCAGCTGCTATACCCTGGACGTGATCTGTGAGACGGCGCTGGGGGTGTCGGTGGACGCCCAGTCCGGCAAGAGATCGTCCTACCTTGAAGCGGTCCGGGAGTAAGTGCTGGGAAGATCTGCTTTCTGCTTTCCGCTTTCCGCTTTCACACTTATATTTCGCATTGCTTCGCAGGGTCCTGCACGTCATCGACTACCGCCTGAAGAACCTCTTCTACCGCCACTCGTTCATCTATCGCAGGACCGCCCTGTTCAGGCGCGAGCAGGAGCTCCTGAAGACCCTGCACGGCTTCACCGAGGGCATTGTCCAGGAGCGCCAGCACCAGTTCAACCTGGACGAGGTGAATCGGAATACCATGAGCACCAAGGACGCCGAGATGGACAAGCGGCCGGCCCTCTCCTTCCTGGACACGCTGCTGCAGGCCAAGACGCCGGAGGGGGCGTCGCTGTCGGTGAAGGAAATCCGCGAGGAGGTCGACACCATCATATTCGGGGGCTTCGATCTGACGGCCACCGTCCTGAAGTTCGTCATGTACAACATGACGCTGCACACGGACCACCAGCAGCAGTGCCGCGAGGAGATCTGGCAGATCTGTGGCAAGGACACAAAGGAGCCCATCACCATCGAGCAGGTCCAGCAGCTGGAGTTCCTCGAGTGGTGCGTGAAGGAGACGCTGCGCATGTATCCCCCGGCCCCGCTCCTGACGCGCAGGGCCACGGCCAACTGCCAGATCAGTGAGTAGAGGCCATCCCCCAGCCAACCCCCTCTCAATTTCGGCCCTTTCCAGACGATTTCTTCATACCCAAGGGCAACGACGTGGTCATCTCGCCCATGTACATGGGCCGCTGCAAGGACTTCTTCCCCGAGCCGCTCGTCTTCAAGCCCGAGCGCTGGGCCCGCGGCGCCGAGCCCAAGATCGAGGCCACCACCTTCATACCCTTCATGACGGGGGCCCGCAGCTGTCTGGGCCAGCGGTATGCCATGGTCATGATCAAGAGCGTCATGGCCCACCTCCTGAGGAGCTACCGCTTCGAGCCGATCGGCGAGCGACAGGTGAAGATGAAGCTCAACTTCGTGGTGACCCTGCACACGGTGGAGCCCTACTACTGTCGGGTAAGGGCCATCGAATGAACGCCGTGGCCTCTGTTCCTCTGTTCTTCCAGGGATCTACCTTAGAGTATAGCAGTACAAGTCTTGAAGTCTTGAGTCTATTTCTAGGGGTCTGCTGTAAGTTGTAGCCTCGATAGAGGCATTCTATTGGTTGAAAGGATCCTCCATTGTAATTCAATTCATTAAAGTATATTTAGAAATGTTCAACAAATGCCTGTGACCCCTCTTTCGCCTCTTACCCCTCGCCCTTCTGCCTTTGGATACCCATTACCCCATTATTGCCAAGAAAATCCTATTAAACTCGGGAGTTGAAGCTTCGCAGCGTCTCTGAATGCTTCTCCCCGCCCCCCCCCCCCCAACTCCTGCTGCAGGACCATATCAATCCGTTTCACTCGGCTCTATTCAAATTGGTTGCATACTTCGCGATGCAGGCACAACATTTCCGCTTTTAATGACGCCCAGCCCATGTCGTGGATGTACAAAAGGAATTCTGTACAATTTGGATATATTTTCCTGCCTGGCTTTATGTACCGTTTTTTATTCGTCGAAGGCGCGTTCGTCTAGAAAATAATTTCTGGCTGGCGTTGATTTTTATTGTGCCAGCGGAAAATCAGCAAACATTTCCTGGCACTGTAATAAATAAAAATACATAAAGCAGCCACCAAACCGTCGCCAGTCAGTCACCACTCACTCGCACAGTCCTGCCCCATCCTGGGGCACGCACCCACACGCACACCCGCACACCCGCACACCCGCACCCACACACACACACCCGCATCATCATCATCATCATCGTAGCCATATTCCGGTGAAAATTATGAGCGTTGCCTGCTTATTATTACCGAGTAGAGGGATGGGCAGGGGCGGGGAGAGCAGAGCAGAGCAGAGCAGAGCAGAGCATATAAAATGCAATTTATTTAAATAAAAATCAAGTTTAATTCGCAGTGTCGTAAATTTTTCTTTTATTTTTTTTATACATACTACATACGTACAGACATACAATATATATTCTGCCCGTTCTGTTCGTTGAGTTTTGTTCGTCCTGGGCATTGAATTTCACGCTTTTGTTAACAAGCGCATAAAAGTTCATTCTATCTGGGAAACCGATACGATATGGCTCTGGGCCCTGCTCTCGGAGTGGTCGATGGAGGGGATGGATCGGGTGGGGAGGGGAGGGGATTCGAAGATTGTTGAACTCTCTGGCTGATTGGCGGAAGGGTGGCCGGATGGGTTGATTGAAGCCAATGACGGGAAAGGGAGATTTCCAAACAGATTTGAGGCCAATTTTGTTTTGGGTTCGAAATGTTTCAAAAATAAATGGATTTCAAACGCCTGAGAATGTCTGTAAATTCTTAGATTCGGAGGCGGGAAGAGATCCTTGTACAAAATCTTCATAAATATTTTAAAAAATTGCTGCATCTTAATTAAAAAATCATAAAATATAAAAATAAAAATAAAGAGTTTATATTTTTGAGAAATTATGACGAAACCTTTTTAGTGTCCACTTTGTCCTTTTATGACCCACCCCCAACCGCCGCCCGAGTGTAACTCTTTCCAATTCCATCTTGAAATTAAAATATGCGCCTTAGGAACATGTTTTCCGAGTGAATTTTTGAGTGCTCGGCCAAAAGTTTTACGATCATTTTATTGGCAATGGCAGGGCACTGCGAGCCCCATCTGGGAGCCTTAACCCTTCCTTGGGCTGCCACCCCCTGCCAGCCCATAACTCCCATAACTTAATTATCCATATGAATCCCGGAAGGTTTTACGGCCTTCTCCGGCAAACTCCGCTGCCGCCCGGCGGCATTAATTATGATGAGTACTCGCCGAGTCCTCGGCGTGGCTCGTCGTCGCTTCTTTTAGTGTCAGCTGTCATATTTTTATTTATCTTAATTTACAGATCTTCACGGTGTCTGTCTGTCTGTCCCGCCGGAGAGGATTCGTGTGGGTGTGGGTGTGGGTGTGGGTGTGCGTGTCGTTGCTCATTAAAATGATGTAAAATCCACGACCAGGTCCAGAGCGCAGTTCATGTTTTATTGCTGCTGACTGGGCGCAACATTTATTTCGAACAGCCCGTACGGGATCACGGCTAAGTTTATTGTACGGCATAATTCAGGGCTTTTTCGCCTCAGGGAAGGTGCGGGCAGCATAATTATAATGGGGATGCCTGGAAATGCTATCGGACTCTTGTTTTTTGGACTATTCCCATGTCCGTTGCTGTACTGAGTGCAACGAGAGCAGTAGCACTGTGGCACACGGCGCAATTCATGGAGAGAGGACACTTGCCTCTCTTACGATCCTCCCTCTAAGTGAGTTTCTCAATAGGAACTCTCTCCCCAGCTCTGTTGATGGGAGAGCATATTTTAGCAAAGAGCTGAGAGCAGAGTGAAGCCTTTGCCGCACTCAGCAACACTCAAGGCTTCTACAAGGTGGTCCGCTAACTCTCTTTCGGGTCGTATTTTACGCTCAGCTCTACTGAGAGCGCTTTGACGCCATGTGTGATGAGAGATAGAAAGAAGAGCGAAAAGAGAGCGCGTTGCGTGAGCGACTCTCTCCCACCAGCACGAGTACAGCAGCAACAGGGAGACCAAGGAGACAGCAGAAATAAGTGTGTACACCCAACGAAAAAAGAGAATATTGCACAGAATGGGACACCTGGCCCTCCTGGAGTTGCGGTTAACAGTGTAACACGTTAAATGGTGGATCCGCCGACGGAAAATCTCTCCTCCGAGGCACGAATTGTGGAGTAAAGTGCATACTTTTGGGCTGCTCTATTAACTTTAACCCGCAGACCGCTGCCTCAAGAGATGCTGCGACCGAATGCGGTTCTCCCACCTCGCATTCCGGCCACTGCACACATGCCCATTGTTGACTGGTGGATTCCTGTCCTGTCCTGTCCTGTCCTGCCCCTCCGCCCTATCAAAAAGGAATGCAAGCTGTCTCCTCCTCTGCGGTTAGGTGAGGTGAGGCCCTGTGGGCTGTCCTGTGGTGTGATGTGCGCGCGTGTGTGTGTGTGTGTGGGAGGGGGGGGTGGCGGAGACTTTGAAGTAATCGTCGCCGGGGAGATTGCCTTACGGCTAAGCCTCATTTGCGGTTTAATTGTGTCGCCGGACGGCAGCTGAAAGTCGATTATGTCAATATTGTCGTGCGGGACCCACCGGCTAATGGCTAATGGATGGGCCGTCATGGTAGGGGGGTGGGAATCACGGTCTCGGCATGAGGAATGTTTGCGATAAGCTGCGGACAACCGCCGGCTGCCGCTGTTAGATAGCCGCAACTCATATGCTAATTAGGGCGACATACTGGGTACCTTTAAGGCGTCTCGGGCGCCCACCAAGAGCTCCCATGATGGAGAGCCCTTCCTTCCCCGAGGCACTCGGGGAAACAACAATGCGGCCATAAACCAGCTGCCGAAACACACATATAAAAATCAGTTGGAATACATTTAGGAATCGAATTACATTAAAGGGGTGGCTCTGCCAGGGGCTCCGGCAGGGGCTGTAACTGTATAAAAAAGGAGTAGCTGCTGAGCCATTTTACACATTAAAAACGCATAAAAATCGGCAAAGAAAACAGGAAGAACAAGCAACAAATAAAGTGGCCATAAACATAAAAACCAAGTTGGGTTTCCACTGTGGGGGAGGCCACTGGGGTGGGGGAGGGGGATAAAGCGCAGCGATTGAAGCAATCAATTAAAATTGATGAACGAAATTGAATCACGTGTTACAATGCCACGGAGCCAGGAGGACTCCACTCCGCAGTGTGTGATTGGAAATAGATTGAAGGAAGTAATAAAGTTCCCATAAAACCGGCATCGTACACCCCGTACAAAGTGGTTCAGATCCTCGGCAGTAAAGAACCCTAGACCTTAAAGCGAGTGTAAAATAAAAGATATTGAAATGGAGACTTACCCTTGGAATGGAATGGAATGTCAACTGCAAGATTCCGGAGAGGTTGCCAAATCGAAATGCAAAACAGAACCGTTTTGCTAATGTAATTAACCAGTCTGCAAGGAAAATGGCACAACGAAGGGAAATTAGTAAGAAAACAGAGCAAGGCAAAAAATTAAGCAAAAGCAAAAAAAAAGGGAAGAAGGAAAGGAAAGGGGTAGCCCCAGAGGGAGGGGCGAAAATTACAAACTGTTGCTGCAAAATGTCAACCTAAACCTTTTATGCACAACCAGGGGCCAGGACCTGGGGGCAGCTGTCCTGCCCAGAAGGAGGCGGCTAATTACACTGCACAGCACACAGCTGAAGGCCGGACCATATGCGGGCGTCGGCACTGCAGATACTCTTCCTTTTTGGCCAGCAATATGGCATGACAAGGCTCCAGGGGATTGCATAAAACTGTAAGGTATGGCCATGTCTCGGATATGACCAAGGACTCCGGCTGGGCAGCTTCTTGGCAGAATTGGAATGCCCCTGGAATGCAAGGGTGTATAAGGGAAAAGGAAAAAATTACATGCAGTCCTAAGGGGCAGACCCCAAGCTGGCCAAAACGGAGTTTGTTTTGCTGAAGACATTAAACAGAAGCCAACGGCAGGGGGGCGGGGGGTGGGGGCGTGGGTTATTCCAGGCACGTAACAGACACAAAAGAGTAATACGGAATTAATTAAAACAAAAATTGCTTAAGAAATTGTATTTTATCTATATTATTGCAGGTCCCTTGCATGGGTTGCAGCGGGGCGGGACGAGGGGCGGTGCATATCGAAGATTGTCAGCGGCACATGAGGCAGGAGCGGCGACGGCGACGGCGGCAACCACAGAAAGACCAGCAAACATTTCAGAAAAGTTTCGTTTGCATAAAGTTTTGTTTTGTTCAAATAACAGAGCAGAACAAAACAAAAGCAAACATCGCTACATGGCAGCAGCCACTTAAATGTAACAGGCAAAAGTTCAGAGCCCAAACTTTTCGACCCCCGCCACCCTCCAGGCATAGGGATGGGCGCGTGAGGGCATCTCAGAGAGTCCTTGCATCGGCCAGAAGACACAATTTTAAAGAGTAATATGTGCAGAGTTTATCGCGTGCCACGTTGCCATCTCCATCTCCCGTTGCCATCAGCAACATTGTTGCGCCCTCGTATCAAACATCTCTCCGAGCTGTGTGTGGGCGTGGGTGTGCGTATGTGCCAGTGTCCGTGTCCGTGTCCGTGTCTGTGTCTGTGGTCATGGTGGCGTAAGTCAAACAAACGAAAAGTTGTGCTCGCATAAC